GCTACTCAATCACCAGGGAAAGAAGGCTGTCATGAAGGAAGCAGCTGATTTTAAGTCCACGCTGTAGATACGCCAATTCAGGCTCAGTGAAGTGACTGCCCAGAGAAGCTGTGGATGCCCCATCCCCACAGGCAGTTAAGGTCAGCCTGGATGGAGCCCTGGGCAGCCTGAGCTCATGGCTGGCAGCCCTGCTCACAGCGTGGGGTTGGAACTGGATGATTCTTAAGACCCTTTCCAGCCCATAATCCTATTATTCTATGAATTTATCTTGAATTAAAACAAACAAATAATAATAATTTAAAAAAAAACAGAATAGCAGCACCTTGAAGCTGCTTTACATTCTGAGTAAAAGCTACACTACCTAACTACATTAAAGGAAAGATATCAGAACTTCTCACACAAAGGTGATTAAACAACAAAATATTTGTAATAAAAGAACAGTAATTTCTGAACATCAAGTCATCAGTATTTCAGAACTAGGAGCTTTCAGCATCCAGGATCTTATTTTCCTTTCCCGTCTTTAGTACAGATCATAATTCTTTCATTTACATGCTGTAAGAAAACTATTGAGCTGTCTACACCAAAAAAGTAAAAAAATATCTTCTGTATCCACTGGAAAAAGCTCTACCTGTTACAAAGACTGGCAAGAATTCATGTGATTGGATTCAAAGGCTTCAATTCTATCATTTGCTTTATAATCCCAATATCAAGCAAATTCTTCTAAGTTAATGAAAACAACTAATGAGCCCCAAATTCTTGTTGTAGTTTAAATAGATGAAGTTATAAAGGTAACATTACTTATATGTAGCGTGTTTGGGGAATGTTTTTAAAACATATTTTAAAACCTATTATAGACGCTCTGCATAGAATATAAACAGCTTAGCTGACAATGGTACAGAAGTATTTCCTGACAGCAAGTTTCTCATATACAGAGGTATATGAGGTATACTTCAAGGCAGTCTTCATGTGAATATCATTTTCATGAAAAAAAATGCTATTCTTCTGTTTGGATTTTGCACCGTGGGGATTTTTTTCCTGCTTTCAAAGCCTAAAGCTTTCATCACTGAGTCGTCCATCCATCATCCTTTAAAATGACATAAAGATTCCCACATGCTTCAATATGAAGTCTATAGACAGAAGTAAATTGGCAACAAGTCAGATAATACCACAAACAAACATGAAATGATCTCCCTGCATAGAAACATCTGAAATCTTTCAAACTTGAGGAGCTGGATCCTAGAAGTGGGCTGTATGTTGCTCTCTGATACACCTAACAAAGGCATTCAGATTTCACAGAATCTTATGGTTTTTTTTTTACTAAGCATCCTTATTTCAGATTTAGGGACACTGCCCTAAGAATAGCCTCCACTACAGGGCGTGCCTGTACTATTCAGAGCCTTTCATCAGCACAATGCTCGCTACAGTTCTACAGTTACATAACACATTCATCAGGAGAGATCTTTCTCCTTGAAAACACTGAAGATGGTAATAGCAAAAAAAAAAAAAAAAAAGGAAATGAGGCAAGTGACTGCTAACAGTAAGAAAAGCAGGAGTAACTTGGGTAGAGAAATAAGGCAAAGCAAAAACAGCAGAAGTCCAAGTGACTGCAGGTTCGGTGCCTGCAAAACAACTAGTTACTGGACTTGTATTAAAATCTGACCCTAAAAGCTGCTGAATGTGGTAAATCAATGGAGAATCTCCAGCCTGTACAACCAGCGTAGCCACGAATAAAACTGATATGTACCATACTACACTGAAACAATGCACAGACCAGATCATTGTCCTGTTTTTTCATATAACTATATGACTTACACATTTTTTGGCAGCAGGTAAATGGTGGTTCTGAATCAGATGCCCTAGCAGACAGCTGAGGATCAGCACCAAGCAAAGGAGACAGTGCTGCTGGCCCTAAGGAACCAAATTCCGCACAGGGCATTTGGGCACCTCTTGGCTCTTCAGTCTGGGAAACACAAGAACCAACTCCAGCCAGTCTTCCCAACAGACAGATATCAGCCAACCAGATACGGACAGCTCAGCACTACAGCTAGAAAAGCTAGCCGTGCTCCAACAAGAAACTAATGATATGTCCAAGCATGTTATTTGAACACTTCCACTATTTTAACTTGGATATTATTATTCCTAATAGGTGCCTGATGAGCTCAAACTAGCAGACACAGTAGCCCCAGCTGCTGGAACATCAGTTGGAAAAGGCTCAGAGCCTGAGCCAGCCCCAACACAGGAGTGGAAAGATGCACTCCCAGACAAGAACTGGCACCAGTGCTGACACCTGAAAGGGAAGAGGTCAGGAGGAAAGATAAACAGGTGCACCTAACTCGTTTTTCCAGTTAAATACGCTCACTTCAAATAAATTACAGCTACCTGGGAAGATTTTTGTTTTATTTCAATAACAAGTGCTATTATGTGCGTATGAACTTCCAGTTACATTTTCATGTATTCAGTCTGACTCCTAACGCAAAAAGCTTTAAAAAGCCTTCCAACTTTAGGACAGTGTCAAAATTTTGCATTTGCCCAAATTCCTCCCTTGGAACAGTACACTGCTAAACTCTTCTTTTTCTATTTTAGCAGAGGGCTTCAGTGACTGTTTTGCCATGGGAAGCAGCAATCCCGCTTTTGGGATGGTTTCGATTTGAATGATTATGTGTTCAATACAAGTCTCATGTTTGCTCCTGTTTTTAAATAGGTTTGGGCTTCAGTTGTGTATGCATGTAAGCAAGTTTCTCAATGACAAGTTTGAGCAAAAGAAGAAGGGGACAAGCAAACAGTTTCGTGACTGACAAAACAAGCCTGGAAGAAGCCCCAGAGCACAGCAATGCTTCCCTTACCCCACACCATACAACTACCCTTCATGATTTGTGGTGAGACTGAAAACCTTCCCAAACTCAGGACAGAAAGATATGGGATGGAAATGAGAGAAACACTTAACTGTACCCACAGTAATAAACTGAGCTCTGTATGCGTGAAACACACTCCTTCTTCCCCTTATTCAATTTCCTTTGTCTGAGGACATAGCATAGAAAAAGAAACAGTACTCCTCTATCCCTTCCAGTTGTCATTATTTTGTCGCTGTTAGTGTGCACAACAAGTCCTGAAAGATCAATCTTCTGAAGAGTCAACTCGTATCAAATAAGAAAGAATTCAAGAAGCAGGACAGTTACAAAATACAACTTCCCACAACACTAAGGATTCAAAAACTATTTTTAACTGAACTCATTTACTAGTCAGTCATAATTGCCCCATCCCTGGAGATATTCAAGGCCAGGCTGGATGTGGCTCTGGGCAGCCTGGTCTACTGGCTGGCAAACCTGCACAAAGCAAGGGGGTTGAAACTAGATGATCATTGTGGTCCTTTTCAACCCAGGCCATTCTATGATTCTGTGATAATTCATGCTCATAGATAATAACTAAAATCTGACTTTAATGCAGCCTGACTTATTCACTGCCTCACAAATTAAACGCCACAAGACATTTCTACAATCAAGTCAGCAAATGCCTCTGATTTAGAAAAAAGTAATACTGTGAGGGGAAAAAAAAAAAAAACTTCCTTAAGAACATTTTCAGGAAAATGGACTTCTGAATTAAGCTATTAACAAATTCATTAAGTTCCAGAAACATCACTCCTCAGCCTACTACTCTATTCCAAAACATCTATACTAAACTGAAGCTATGAAAATATTCTCCAAAGAAGGAAACACAGCATTAGTAATTCTATATAGCCCTTAAATTGCACACTTGAAACAGGTCAACAACATTAGGAAAGAATCCTTAGAAGGAACATCGCTGTCACACTCAGAGAAAGAAGTATACGTGGACAGTGACCACTGTTTTTCCCCTAGCAGTACCAGTGCACACATCCAAGAAAAGCCATCCAACACCAGAGAGGAGCAGACTTGGAAAGCAGGCTATCTTTGCCACCACATGCCCACATCACTTCTTGGCCAGCTGAATTATTCTTTAGTTTAGCACCTTAAGGAGCAAACTTCTAATACCAAGCCCAGGTCAGCCCTGAGTCTGGAGACTTATCCTGAGTATTGATGGCTTCAGTTCCACCTCAAGGCTGGCAGTTCCACCTGCCAGCACCTGTGAGAGAAAGTTCCTCAAGCTGAACTACCTGCACCACTGTATAACCAAGCTGCACATTTCACAGCAGACTGAGAATAAGTTTGACTGCACAGGCGTTACTGATAGCATACTCAGAAAGCAAACGAGGCCGCGGGAGGGACGGATAAAACCAGTCTGCTGATTTTCACACGCTAACTGCGAGGCAAAACGAAAGCAAACGATCAAATAAAATACAAACAAGTTCACCACAACTATCAGAACCATCGGCAAAGCCGTAGGTCGGGCACCGACAGAGGCAGAGAGCCGGGAACGCCCCTTCAACGCCCCAGCAGCCCGGGTAGGGCACTTACGAGGGACGGAGCCGCGAGGAGCAGCGCTGGGGACGCCGCCCGGGACGCGAGGCACGCACGCAGCCGGCCCGCACGGCGCCGCCAGGGCCCCGGCGAAGGGCCGCCCCGCGCCCTCGGCCCGCTGAGGTGGCAGCTCCCGGCCTCCTCCCGCCCCAGGCCTTTCCCAGAAACGCCCTCCCGCGGGACGCCCCGCCGCCACGGCGCTGCCGGCTACGGCTCTCCCGGCCCGGCCACGGGGCTCCCAGAAGCCTGCCGGCGGGCTGGGCCCTACGCCGCCCACCGCTTCTCGCGACGCCTCCCCGCGCCCCCTCACCCTGATACTGCAGGTCGAGGAGCACCAGCAGGAAGGGCAGCGCGGAGCCTAGGCGGCCGGCAGAGGCCGCGGCCGACACCATCGCCGCCGACGCCCGCGGCCGCAGTGGCGGCGCCCCGGCCCGACGGCTCCGACTCGTGCGGGGAGGGTCGTGGGCGCCGCCGATTGGCCGCTCCGCGCGCGCCCGCCCCTTCGCGCTCCCGGAAGGTGGAAGTGCGCTGCAGGGAGGCCAGGTCGCCGCCGTCACGGCGCATGCGCGGTAGAGCGGCCGTCCCTCTGACTCGTCCCGCCCGCCCGCCTCGAGCGGCGCGTGCGTTGGGAGCGGAGCGAAGCCGCTGCCCCGAGTGGAGATGGCCGCGCCTGCGAGGACTGCTTAAGCCGGTTCGCAAGCGTTTGCTGTCTTTGTGCCCGCTCCCTCCTGTTGTGGGAGGGCTTTTCCTGGGGCCGGGGAGCTGGGGAAAACAGAGCAAGCTTACGGCTGGCAGCGCAGTGGTTGCCGTTACCCGTCCTGGCTTGAAAGCGGTATCTCAGGGCTGCTCGTATTTTACGTCAGCAAGCGATAACGCACAAGTGAATTGATGCTGTCTCTTCGTTGCTGAGAGGAGCGTGTTTTCAAACTATAGCTTTTACCGTCCCTGGGGCACAATCCAGTTTTCCACTGAACTGGAGCTCTGCTAAGGCGTCAGCATGCACACACTATTAGGGAGCTTACCAAACTGAAAAATCGGGGATGTGACTGAACAGAGCACAGCGTTCTCATGGTAGGAGCTCATTCTTGACCTACAGACTGAAACTAAAGCCTGTGTGAGATAGCTTGCAGTCCAACAGGCTTTTATTTGGAGACATTTTCCCTTTTTTCTATAATTAAAACGCGTGTTTTCTTAGTAGAGAGAAGCTAATGGTGTATGTGCCAAGTTGTTATTTGTTTCAAGTTATCTGCTTTGCATTGTTGGACAAACAATTCATTTTGGGGTGTATTACATAATGTTAAACCCTATCTATGCTTAAAAATAAAAATACTGCTCTCACGAATTCTGCCAAGCAAGTGACAAAGCTGAGTCTCAGAGTCTGATGCAGCAACCACAGAAATTTCCTTTTTCTTTCTGGTCATGTGTTGCTCTTTTCACCCACGATGGTATAATCTACAAGCTTTCTTGAAAGATGAGAATGAATAAGAGAAAAGAAAGTTATCCCTCTCCAACATTTCATTTGTAAGATGGTGCTTCAAGAGTATCACCTTGAAATTTGACCTGCAGAAAATATTCAGAAATAAGACACTGAAATAATAGAAAAAGTGATAGATGTGAAATGAATAATTGATGATGTTCTGAAGATGTCAGCATGAGCTAGAACATGACAACTCTTGCACTACGGATAAGACAATATAAGAAAGCTTAAAAATGAACCAACCAGAATATAATAGCTGTTACAGTATTTTACCCAAGAAAATAATGTAACCAAAGCCATATAAAATTAGTACGGCAGGGCAATTTGCACCTCAAGCCCCTAAAATAACCAAAAATATAATCATGAGTGATGGTTTACTTAATAGGCCCTCAATTACAAGAGTAGGGGAAGAATAACAATAATCTGAAATAAAACTCAGTATTTAATACTGGAATACCAAGCACAGAGGTTCAGATCTCTTAAGACAAGACAAAAGTACTATGATGAAAGTATCAAATAGCATTTTGGATAGATGCTTGACAAGCACTTATTGGAAGGTCAATATTTCAGGATGACACAGTAATGTAAAGAGCAGTGTGTAATGCCAACAGTACTGAATGATGTACTCAAACTGTTTGTCTGTGATAAAAATCTCATCAGGCACACAGATGCCTACACATTAATTCTTGAATGAAACCATAAACCACGTAGGAACATTCTTGATGATCATAAATCCCAAAACATATAAATATATATATATATAAAGTATAACATAACTATAGACTTGAGAGGAAAAAGAATATATCTTTAACACATATTCTCTTTAGCAACTTCAGAAGGTGGCAGTGCAAGAGAGGAAAAAGAAAAGACTAGTGCACATGATGTAAACATTAGATTTTGAAAAATAGCAAAGCAACACAACTGTAATGCAAAGAGTCCTTTAAAATGATTAATCAAAATGAGTCTGGCATCAGAAACAAGTTTCTGTAGCAGTTTTGGAGCAGATGGCAAAGATAAAACTAAGTTTAAAGACAGACAAGGAATTTTCTGTTACTGCTGGTGATACGTAGAGAAACAGCAGAGGGCATCCACTAGCAAGGGATGACTTTTTAAGCCACTCATTGCTGTTTAAAAGGCAGGTGAACAGAATAGAGCGACATGGTGTATGGATATTGTTAAGTTTATATTTCTGTTTATTAACTGAGATCTCATAAGGTACTGTGAGGAGTGTACGTTACACACGAGAACATAGAAGGTACTGGACGGACCCTGCTTAATACCTATGAGTCAATATGCTTGACAATATGTTTTAATTAATAACTCTGTTTCTTTAAACACTCAGGGAAAGAGGCAGTATGGCAGACTGTTACATTATATACACAGTCTAATACGAAAATATAGGTATGGAAATATAGGAGAGAGAAGATGGTAACAGATGCTCTTCTCAAGGTCTTCTTGTAAGAAATCTATTGTTTTTATTTTCATCTGTGCACATCTCCATCAGAAAGTTGGCTGTCTTGGAGCTAAATGGGATAGTAGTAGTATCCACATATATGGATAACAAAGAATTGCTGTTTATGTAGCCACCTGTTTTGGTAGTTCTGTAATTTTACATTTGGATTGGTATTTAAATGTGATTGCTTTAGAGCTATTTCTTTTCTGGGCTCCTTTTGCAGCAAATGGAAGCAAAGAAGCTCCTACAGACTGCAGTTCCACACACAAAGTTATCTAAACTTCCACTTGGAAAAGCTTATCTTCATCCATAAACTTGAAAGGGAACATGAGGGACGACTCTTCTTTAGGGTAAGGTTAGCCTCTGTAAATGCTTTTCCGTCCATATTGCCCTAACAAAATTCCATAGGTATGTCTTTGTCACATCTGTGATGGGAGAACCATGTTTCTCGTGTGGACTTATTTAGGTCTCAACCTTGTGGTTAGATGTTATATCTATATACTAGCTACTGCCTGCTTTTTATACTGCTATAAAGGTACTTTTTATAGGCCATTTTGTCTCTTTTTATGTGAAGCTTATTTTAATATGGGTCCTTGAGTCTGATTTATTCACTAAACTATACCACAATGGTTAATTATAAACAAGGCTGTAGGACAGATGTTGGAAAAGGGAATAAGACATGCATGTTTCCTTACAATTAATTTTAAATGTATTTTAATCAGAGGAATTATACTATGTCTGTAACCTTTCTCCCTAGCCATGGTAGCAGCAACAAATTCCAGGTATCTCAAAATGCAGTCACTATCTCCTGCCTAACTTAAACTTCTGATATAATGAAGCATCAAACGGGGCAGGAGAGATTAGTAACCCTCTATTACTCTTTACCTTGACATCTTAGATTCCCAGAAAGAGTTAGACAAGTAGCAGATACTTTTGTGGAGTTTATTTTGAACAAGAAATATCCCAGAAAAGATTCATATTTAAACCTAATTTAAAATTGAAACAATTAAACCTGAGTTGTATTTTTCAAGTCTTTTGATTTCAGAGAAAAACTCACTCTTGTTGATTATTGATGGGGTGAAGGCTTAACAAAGCAAAGCATATGAAATATGCTTACCTCTTTTAAAACAGTTTTTCATTTCATTTCTTACAGCAAGGAACATTTTAAAATAAAAATTCTACTCTGAAGTTACAAGTCAAGAAATTTTGCTTCAAATATTAAAATATTTTGGTATTTCTACACTATGCTACACTTGATCTAAGCCTTCATGGCTGAGGTACTAAGGATGAGAAATGGTGGTTCTTTTTCCTTTTTCATACAGTTTATTTCTTGCTCAACAAAAATGCTGATACATCCCAGTCACAGAAAAATAAAAACCTGTAACTGAGTTACAATTTGTTGCATGCCATTAAAAATTCACCCAGCAAAGTGTTAAAAGTCCTTGATTCAGTTTCAGTGTTTATTGACCTTTCTATTGCTCCTATTATATCACTGATTTCTAAATACAAACAAGTTAAATACCGCATAAGTCATATGATAGACAGTAGATGTTTTTGTCTGAGTGTAAACCTGAGCTTAACTGAGTGAAACTCACTGAGTGAAACCCATGTGTTGGAATGGGGATATCTACCCTGTCTCGTGCTACAGACTGCCTGAAAGCAAATCAAATACAATTCACCATAGCGTCCCAAGATGACTGACAGGGCTACAGGATATGCTGACTGCATAGCTACATCAGGCAGTGAGCCAGGCTGAAGCTGGCATCACTCCTCGTCTCACAGAGGCATGCAGCATGTGCAGCATGTGCTTTGAGACTTTTGGATGTACAAAAACTATGACAGGTCAAGAAAGGAGTTTGAATGGTCAAGAAAGCATTGGTGTGCTAAAGCTTTGATACCATTTCTCTTTTAAATACCTGTAATTACCTTATTGGATGTATATTGACAAAAAGGTAATGGGAAGGCAAAAAGTCATCAGAAACAAGCCAGTAATTTCAGTTTACACTCACCAAAGAAAAAATGAAAAAACCTCACAATGCTGTTCTTGGCATATGGCTTAAGTATTACCGCAAATAAAAAAGTCAGGAAGCTATTCCAGTAATATCTATGTTTAAAGTAGATAAAACTCACAATCAGTGTGTTTGCAGATATTTCTTTAGAGTTAAGTTGAATTCCCTCCATGCTTGGGAGAAAGGAAGATAAATAAATTGTATGGCTGTCTTAGTAAAATCCAGGTAGAGTTGTTGCATGAAGACAAACCTTTAAAAGGTATATTTTATTTGAAGAAAAGAAGACTTAGTTAGAGAAGAGTAAAGTACTCAAAATTGAAAATGAAATTTGTTAAACTAAATGAGGCAGTGTCTCTTCAAGCTACTAGATCATAGCTAGTGTTGTGTGTTGGGATTTGGTAGATTCACAGGACTCTGACTGAGGAAATTTAGGAGAGTGGCTCGTCCTATCTTTCTTTTATTTTAAATGCATTGTTTTTGTGTCATGAGGATATGTACTTAAATGATTTCCTCATGTAAACTAAGTGATGGTAAGATTGAAAGAATGTAAATACTATAGGTATTGATGTTGAAAAATGTGCAGTAGAGGGAGTTGGCAGGAAGGAAAAGATTAAATAAACTGAGAATCTGGCCAGATTTATTATTATACCCGTACCATGCTGTTCAAGTCAGCTTTCCACCAGTTAATGATTACCGGCATGCGTCACTCCAAGATTAGTGAAGAGTCTGTTTCTCAGTTCCCAAGACAATTTCTCCACAGTCCTCTCAAATTAAAACATCTTGCAGAACAGGAGATGTCCTCCTCCATTCCACAAAACATGCAGATAATTATTTCACTTAATCTAATTCCTCAGGGCCCCCAGGACACCACCAGGCCTCAGTGTCTCTGTTCAGCCGTCCCTAGCACTGCCCAGGCCCAGAACACCTGATGCTTGTCCCACTATGGGCAGCCATGGGCCTGCATGCCCAGTCTCAACCTGCTGCCCGCCCCAGGGAGTTGTTCCTCATCTGCTCTGCTCCCTCGTGGGGGGATGGGACAGGCTCTGGCTGTCCTGACAGACCCTGTGGAGAGCAGGCGGCCATTCTGAGGCCGGGCACCTTCCCCTGCTAGCCAGGACATTTCCCAAACAGCTGAGGCCAAGATGCTATGGTATTTTCCCCCACAATCAGAGTAACCTCTCCTCTTGGTGTTCTCCAGTTGCAGATACCCTCTACAAGCCTTGTAAATGCCTTTCTCTAATCTCAGTGTCTGAGGTTTACTTCTTGCATTTTAAATCACTCGCTTCATACTATTTTAATCCTTCAATTCTTAGCTCTCCTCACCAGCATCCCCATAGTTGTCGTTTTTCTACTTCCTAGAAAGTTCTGTTCTTCCCTACCTCTTTATTCCTGTACTCTACTAAGAAAAAGCACAGTCAGCAACACGCTGTGTCAACAGAGCATGAAAAAGCCTTCCAGAACAGTGGATAATACAAAACAGTTCCATAAAACCCTCACGCACACAAAGTACCTCTAGAGGACTCCATTAAGTGCCAGAGTCCTCTACATTAAGTAGATGATTAAAGGAGTAATGTAGACTTAAGTACATTAATGTAGACATTAAATCTATATTATTTGATAAATTTGGACTACTAACTGAGAATGATCTTTATTTAACTGTAGCCTGTAGAAGGCTGGCATGTGGAAAAGAAAATGTTAGGAAGTAACGAGATATACTGGCTAGAACAGGGAAAGAGTGTGAAAGGACTGGGTAAAACAAACTGGAAATAAAAAAATGCAAGGGGAAGAAGATATTTTGAATTGGGACTCTAGAAAGTCTTAAGTGCCTCAGCCCTTATTTTAGCTTCTCCAAATTTGCATTCAGCTACCATCTATTACTGTTAAGAAAAGGTTGGGGAGAGGAGGGAGGGGAGGGGAGGGAAGCGAAGAGAAGGGATTTATATGTTGGATTTATGGTGATTGCCCACCGTTGTCTGTGCAGGAACAATAACCTCATCTGTTCAAACCAGACTGCTGGCCATCATAAGCTTCTTGCATTGAGTCTAGCAGATGGAGAAAGACTAAAATGCTCTTGGTCTCCTCTGCTACTAAATCCATGCACATTTTAGGAGAGTACCTTAATCACCAAGCTATATATGATATAAGGCAAAGAAGGAGGAAGCAGGCATTAGCAATTGGATAGAGTAAACCACCCTTGCCAAGTTAGGCTGTACCACTTGTAGCAAATAATTGAAGATTAATCAAGCTCTAGAAGGAAGGAAGGAAGAGGGAAAGAAAGAGACTCTCTAGCAGACATGGTGATGTCCCTAACTTTACAAAACACAAAACTTGGTTCTAGCTCTATTGCAAGGCCTGATTGAGCATTTTATATCAAACAGATACTGTAATAAGCAACCGAGATCCAAGTGTATCTGCACGCTTCACGCACACCTCCCATAATCACAAGAATCTTGAACACTTTCTCAGCCAGACATTTATGTAATGTAAAACAGCTTTAGCAATAGATCCTTAGAATGCATGCTGAACAGCCTATGGTGTTGATAACAGCTAGAGCACTTCCAGGGGGGCATGGGGTATTAAACTTCTTGGGCACAGAAGGGACTGAGCATGCACTTCTTGCTTTCTGATTGCTCCAGCCATTCCCATAATGTACTCATTAAAGTGTATGGTCTATTTTATTTGCCTCTAAGCATTGCCCATACAAGCTGTGTCTGTGAAACTGCATAGCTACAGAGGAAGGAAGACACTTTCAGAGGAAATTTGATGCTTTTTGTTTTCAAAAAGTCCTCTCTTCAGTATTGCTGTTAATTGAGGCTTAGCACACTAAAACTTCAATATTGCCATCTTCCTTTAGCAGTGCCTGCTTTAGCAGTTAGTGCAGCCTAATAGGAGCAGCAGATCTGCAGAAGCAACAGTCAGTAGTGAGGACTAGATTTCTAGATTTCACCCTTGTTCAGGTTTTATGTCAGACTAATTCTAGCCTGATCTTGTGGACAGAATATCATTAGTGACTGCAGCATACTCAGGCACTCTTAGGACATTCAAAACTAAAGGATTCATATCTTTTTTCCAATCTGGTGTCCGCAGCATGTGTGCCCACATCAGTACGTTCTCAAGAGAATTACATTTTTGGGGAAGGAAAGTTGGTGTCTTGACAAGTCTATTGGCAAGTCTTGAGGGAAAAACTCTTTCCAGAGCTTGGTGCCAATGTACTATGGAGAACAGTGGTGCCTCCCTGAACCAACGGGACTCCTTGATGGAAGTTAGGTGTTGTGAACATGCAGCGGCCATTTCCTCCATTGCATCTGCAGAATTATTTTCTATTAAATATACACTATTTGAAATGTTCCTCCCTTTCATGTAAGCTGCATGGCATTTTTTTTGGAAAGTGTGATTAAAACCCCTATGGGGAAGAGGAAGAAAATTGAGAAGGCCCCCAGTACAGGAAGAAGGATGTGGAGCTGTTGGAGTGGGTCCAGAGGAGGGCCACGAAGGTGGTCAGTGCTGGAGCACCTGTCTTGTGAAGAAAAGTGGTAGGAGCTGGGCTTGTTCAACTTTGAAAAGGCTTTGAAGTGACCCCATTGCAGCATTCCAGTCCTTGAAAGGACCTTATAGGCAGAAGGGGGACCGACATTTTACATGGTCTGATAGCGACAGGACAAGGGAGAATGGCTTTAAACTAAAAAAGGAGAGAGGGGAAAACTCTCACTCAGGGTATGGTGAGGCAATGGCACAGGCTGCCCAGACCAACTATGGATGTCGGTGCCAGGTTAGATGGGGCCCTGGGCAGCCTGAGCTGGTGGGTGGCAATACTGCCGACGGCAGAGGGCTGGAATTCAGTGATCTTTGAGGTCCCTTCCAACCTAAGTCATTCTGTGACTCTGCATGACCTGCCCTGCTGCACTGACTCAGTCTGCTTGTCAGCTGAATGCGGACAGCAGCGGGCTGAAGGGCTCTGCGGCACAGCGTGCCGCGGTGGATCCACACGAGTGAGAGCAGGGGGGGAGGAGGAGGCCCCGGAGGAGGGGAGTTTGCCTCTCGCGTCAGGGACCGCCCGGGCCGGGGGCGGGCAGCACCGCAGCCCCGCTCCCTTCCACGCTCGGCGGCCGGCTCTCGGTGTGCCCCCGCCCGCCGCCCGAGGTGAGCGCCTGTTGCGCCGCGGCTCAGCCCTGCCGAGGGGAAGGGGGCGGGAGCGGGAAGGCAGCGCGCCGGAGCCGGCGGCTTTGGCCGGGTGATGGAGCTCGGCTCAGGGCCTCCCGCAGGGCCCGGCCTGCTCTGCCGCCTGCCGTGGGCCCGGCCTGCGGCCGCAATCAGGGCGCTGGAGTAGCGGGCGGCCCGGGGGGCAGGAGCCCTGCACGGCGTCCTACCCCGGGGCCCCGGCTCCCCGCGGATGGCTTTGCCCCTGTCGTGGAGCAAGCCTCAGCATGGGGTGCGTCTTAACGCGGCCTCCTTAGGACTGCTCGTTTTGGGCACTTGAGGCTCCGTGTCCAGGGGCTGTGTTAGAAATGCGGGCTCTGATCCCCTTGTGTCTTTCCAGGGCCACCTGGGCAGCACAAGGATGCAGCCAGGACAGACGCACAGGCAGTGCTTGTCACGGTGCACCGCTTCCACCTATGTTCACTTATAGCGTGTTTAGTCAGGGCAGCATGAAGCTCTGCATGGATGTTCCTAACTAAATATGTCAGAGGAAGATAATCCACAGGTTTGGCTTAAGCTTGCTGGTTTAAAACAACTGTATTTTAATTAAACCTGTGCATATAGGAGTTAAAGTAAGACTCGTATTTCATGTATGCTTTTTCAAGCTCCTGCTTGACACGCTGCAGGCGTGGTAGTTCATGAAATTCTCTTGTTTTCCATGTAAAGAAATTAATCTTTGGTCAAGCATATAGGGCATGTTAGGCTCAAAGGTCTTGGGGCGATGGATTTCATTATATGTAACTTTGTAGTTTCTATTACTAGAAACATACCCTGGTATAAATTTTCGAGGTGTTTTAAGGTATTCAGGGCATGAATATTTGGGGCACTTATTTAGTATTTGAGCATTTTTTCAAATCTAGCTACTGGCAAATAAAAGTGTATGTATAGGCTGTGAATGGAAGTGAGAACTTCTGCTTTCTCACCGATTTGAGATTAATACCACATTTTGCTGAAATGTTGTCATTTCAGCCCTGAACCGTAGTTATTGTAGTAAAATGTGGCCAGCAGGCTTAAGGTAAATAGTCCAAAAAACAGGCAGTAGTACCAAATCTTTTAAAAGGTTGCCTTCAGCTATGGTGGCTTGAGCCAACAAGCAGGAGGGCTTGCTGTCCTTCATTCATGTTATTAATTTCACTGTTCTAGCTTCCACTATATTTCAATTCACTCTGTAGATCTTTTGCTGGGCCTAGGTACGTTCTTGGAAAGGTTGATTTTCAACTGTTATACAAGCATGAAGAGGGTAGAAGGGTGTAACTTTTCTTTGTGCCGACAAAGCAAGAGAGACATACTCATGGTTCTTAGTGAATGTGAAAAGGAAGGAGCTTCCTCCAGATTTCCCTTTGTGCAGGAGTGTGAAGAATTGGAGATGCTGGTAGCACTTGAGTCTTCTGTTGCTGAACTGAGTGTGTGATCCTCCCTGTGACTAGTCTGGGTCTCTCTGATACTGGCTGGAGTTTGATAGCTGAGGGCTGAAGGAAAAGCCAGGGTCTGTACTGTGAACCAGAGATGCATCCTGTGGTTGTGGCGTGTGTGTTGTTGTTCGCACTGACTACAGCAAAGGCACAAGTGTTCGGTATCATACCTGCATTTCTCCCCACCTGAGGTCCATCTTTTTGGTGCACAAGTCTGCTACGTGCCCATGTTTCTTTTAGAAGGAATGGCCATGTGCAGCCCTGCTTGCCTCCTCACATGGAGTCAAAATACAGCCAGAGTACATATAAAAAAGTTGTGGTGAGTAGCACAGAGTAACTCTGTCCCAAGGATTACCATGACCATTGGTTGGATGTATGTGTTTCAAACTGTGTCTGCAAAAATGAGGGGAGGCTGTATTTGTAGGAACACCTAGTGTGTTTCATTAGATCAATTTTCATTAGATCAATTAACATACGTGGGAAAAGTAAAAAAAAGACTTTGGGCATAGCAGACAACCATATTAAACTAGCAAGCTACATAAAACTAAGAGCTTGTGACTTTAAAGGGAAGCTAAAAGCTAAAAAAACATGGAGCCAGGCTTTTGTCAGTGGTGCCCTGTGACAAGACGAGGCAGTGAAAACAAGCAGGAACACAGGGGGTTCCTTCTGAACACCGGGAAACAGTTCTAGTGTGAGGGTGATGGAGCACTGGCCCAGGTTGCCAAGATAGGTTGTGGAGTCTGCCTCTGTGGACATCTTCAGAAGCCACCTGGATGTGATCCTGGGCAACTGGCTTTAGGTGTTGAGCAGATAACCTCCAAAGGTCTCTTCCAGCCTCAACCATCCTGTGTTTCTTACATTAGTACATAAAACAGCGTTGTTCTAATTTGCATGGAAGTAGACATATGTTATGATTTAGTGGTTGTCACGCCATTGCTTTTATTGGAGTGGGCATTGTAAAAAAAACGCAGATGAGAGAGGTGAGGCTCACTGCAAGTTCTATTGAGGAATTCCTAGAAGTTGAATAGATCAAAATCTTACGGGAAGCCTGAGGGATGCGAAAAGGGAGCAGAGAAGAGCTAACAGGATGGTTAGGGGTCTAACATGAACAACAATATGAGGTGGAAGGAGCTGGGCTTATTTAGTCTGGTGAAGAGAAAGCAAAGAGGCTCTGTAATATTGTCTCACAGTTGCTTGAAAAATAGTTACAAAGATGTCAGAACCAATTTTTCCTTGGTGGTAGGAGATGGTAGGTGAGACATAAGGAAAAATGTTTTCACCAGGAGGATAGCACAGCCGGGTATCAGGTTGCCCAGAAAGGTTGTGGACTGGCTTTTGGAGCCATACAGAAGCCACAGCTGCTCTGCTGTGAAAAGAAGGTTGGACTGGAGCTTTACCAGAGGTCTCTTAGGAACAATATTTCTGTGAGTTTATGATATAGGACGTAGATGAACCTAGAAGTGTACGCTGTGTGAATGTTACTGGAGAGGTACGTGTCTGGGAAGGACCCCAAACGTGTGTGAAGTGCGTGTGTGGAAGGGACTGTAAGGACAGGTAGGTGAAAACATGGAATGTGACAATATGGCAGAGGCAGCACTGGGGAATGAAATATTAAGAAACAGTGACAGGAAGAGCAGATTTTTGGGGAAGAGTAGTAAATCATAGAATCATAAAAATGGCCTGGGTTGAAAAGGACTACAATGATCATCTAGTTTCAACCCCCCTGCTATGTTCAGGGTCGCCAACCAGTAGACCAGGCTGCCCAGAGCCACACTGATTCTATGATTCTATGTTGTGGGGCCGTGGAAAGTCGGTGACAGCGGCAGGCAGGGGGGAGGCTGCGAGCGGCACTGGGACAGTGCGGGGCTGCACTGGGGTCTGTGCATGGAGCTGCCAGCTGAGGCAGTGGGGTGCAGCGGATGGACTAACGCAAAGAGCAGCGCCACAGGTACCGGGCAGCTGGTCCTGCGGCGGGGCTGGAGAACGCCGCGGGACGGCGAGAGGCGGGAGGGGGCAACGGGTGGGAGCCGTGGCGGGGCGGTGAGGCGGGGCAGAACGGTCCGCGGGGCCGGGCATCACTCCCCGCTCTCCTCCGCGCAGGCCCGGGCCACGGCTGCCATAACAACGCGGAGGACGCTGGCGCCGAGCGGGACGCGAAAGACGATCCGGACATGGTGAGCGCCGTGGCGGGCGGTGGGCTGGCCGGGCTCGGTGCGGCTCGTTCTGAGCCGCCTCTCTCTCCCCTCTCTCCCGCAGCCCTTCACGGAGCGCGCCTATTTCCCCGCGGGGGCGGCCGCGGCCGGCTCTGGATCGTTTCCCGCCTTCCAGTTCCGCGGGCGCCATGAGGGCCCGGACTGGCGGCGGCTGAGCGCCGTGGACGTGGGCCGGGTGTGGCGGGAGGGCGACGTTGCGGCCCTGCAGGAGCACCTGGAGCACGTCACCTTCTGCAGCGCCGAGCGGGAGCGCTGCCCGCACTGCCAGGGCCCCGCAGACCCGCTGCTGCTCAAGCTGCTGCGCCTGGCCCAGCTGTGCACCGAGTACCTGCTGCACTCGCAGGAGTACCTGAGCGCCCAGCTGAGCGGCCTGGAGGAGGCTCTGCGTGCGGCCCAAGCCCAGCGCGACCGCCTGGCCGAGGAGGTGGCCCAGCGCGCCCAAGAGGTCAAGGGGTTGAAGGAGGAGTGCCGGCGCAGGAAGAAGATGATCAGCACCCAGCAGATGATGCTGGAGGCCCGAGCCAGCTACCACCAGGTGAGGGGAGAGGGTCTGTGTTCATCATAAACAGCTGCTGTAATGAGAGTTCTGACAACAACAGGGGTAAGCTGACGACAAGAACTAAAGATATTTTTGGAGAAAAAGAGAAGGGGAAGCTTTAAGTTTGCTGGGAAAGGCGCAATGACCCTGTACGTGATAACTGAGAATAATTAATCTTGCTACAAGGAAAAATGTTTAAAGTGTGAACATTCAGTTAGTTAGCTAATGGCCTGATTACCATAAATCCTGGCAAGTGATATCATTATGACCTTGATTAAACTGGCTAAACCATTTTTGTCTAGGGACTTGGAAAGCTAGCTCTCCTATAAACATCTTTCAGGTATCCTAACATAAAATTGAATTCTGCTTAGACTTGTTCAATTGTATGCTTGGTGTTCAACTTCTGACAGAAATTCTACTGTGTTTTGGTAGTGAGGAGAATGTGTGGAAGTTAAGTCATTCAGGCATGTAAGGGATGAGTCCTAAGTGACTGTACTGGGAGCTTTAGACAGCGCCCCAAGAGACAGTTGAGCCACAGGGATGAACCTAGTATCACTTAATGTGAGTGGTATCTCAACCACTTCTGGAACTGAAGCAAGAGAAGGGTCCAGCAATGGTCAAGTCATAGGGAGGGGCCTGGTGTCACTTTGATTTGCCTGGTGTCTTAACCAATCCCGGAACTCGAGCAGTGTTTCAGAAGTCCAGGAACTGGAGTGTGTAAGCAGGGGCTGAGGGGATGGACTCTTTTTTCCCCAAACAACCCCTTTGACTGATCTGATCCTGGATCCAAGACTGGTGATCTCTCTCTCTCTCTCTTTCTCTCTTTTCTTCTCTTGAAGTTGTTAATCGAGACAAGGCTTACTTTGATTTCCCATACAACCACAGAGCTTAGGCAGATGTAGCTGTGAAAAGACTAGTGTCTACAGGATAACTGTTCTGTAGAAACCTTCCATTCTATTTGATGTTTATGCATGAACCTTGAGTGCTATTTCACCTTAATCCATCCTGAAGAGATTTGCAAATCTTAGTCGGTCTCCCCTCCCCGCAGGTAGGATGTGATACATTAATTGATGTCACAGACAGGATCCCCTCAGTGTTGAAAGGTATCCCTTAGCACCAACACTCTGCCCCGTAAGTGTGAGTAAAGAGAGCTGAGAATTGGCCTCTCAGCTGGGAGAGGTATAGGCAGTGGCAAGCTGTGGCTGCCCAGGAGATGGTGGTGCGTAACTGCTCCCCTGTTTTTGAAAAATTGAATATAACGTTTGCCTCACCTCCTTAGGAATAGCATGGGTCCATATTTATATTCAAGGTCAGGCTGGATGTGGCTCCAGGCAGCCTTGTCTAGTAGTTGGTTACCATGCACATAGCAGTGAGTTGAAGCTAGACGATCATTGTGGTGCTTTTCAACCCAGGCCATTCTGTGACTGGCTGCCTGGCCACCAGTGTCTTGTGGCTCTGAGCCCCACTGAGCGGCCCGGTTCTCATGGGTTGTGGCTGCCTGCTGGGTGAGAGGCTGAAGTGCAGGCGCTAGGCTGCTGTCACAGACATCTGAGAGTGCTGCATCATCTGTATCAAATCCTGAATACTGTCCAGCGCTCTATAGCCTTGGATTTGCTCTTGACGCATCGGAAGTGTTGGATATATATACACACACATCCAAAAGCCTGTGATACAGGTGCTGCTTTTTTTCTGTTGCCTGTGTACCTTATGGTCAAGAAACTCCCAGGGCACATAAAGCAGCATTGATGCTAGGGTGTAGCCTGTCTGTAGGCCAGTTGCCGCTTTTCTGCAGTAGTGTTCTCCAGGCACAAAATTTTTGCCTCTTATGTAACTCAGGAGCAATTCATGTTAGGAACACCAGTGACATAGGTCATCCCTAGCACAGCAGTCTGCTCCTTTAGCATATTTCCCAAGAGCCTTAGCATGTTGCCATCTTTACTTATTTATTTGATGAGGGAATTGTTGTTCTGGTTATAATAGAGTGGTTTGAAAATTTGTCAGCTTTAGTAGGCTTCAGGACTGCAGATTCTAGCTTCAAATATAATCTGAAGTCTGCAGAGTGTACTGGATGAAGACTTGATGGAAGATTTCAGGGTAGATCTTTGTATTTACGAGTTGTGTTTTGTTTTGTTTCTTTTCCTTTTGTTTAAATCTTGGAATACTAACATTCATGGTTGTTGAAATTCTCCTTAACCGTGCCATAGTTAAAGCACTGAGCCAATACAAGTTTTCTTATGGTATGCCCAGACTTGCACTCACTGTATAGTATCAGTGTCCTCAGGCTAGCAGAGCTCTTGCAACTGAACAAAGGCACCTCCCACATCCACTTTTGTGTCCCTTAAGAAAACAGATCCTTCCTTCCCTGCAAAAAGGCAGGGAACATAAGTCACAGGATTTATTTTGTTGGAGTTTCTTAGGGATGTTTGCACAGTTGTTTTCAAAATGTGTTATAGCAGCCTTAACTGTGAGAAGCAGCAATTTTCCATTTTTAGCTGCTGAGTTGACTCAAGTGTTTCTGTAAGGAAATGCATACTTCATGCCATGGGAGTAAACATACGTACTGTAGACTGGATGGGAATGTTGTCTCAATGCATGTATTTGAGTGTTAGAGTAATAGAATAGTTTGAGTTGGAAGAGACCTGTAATGGTCATCTAGTCCAACTCCTCTGCAATGAACAGGGACATACACAGCTAGATCAGGGTACTCGCAGCCCTGTCCATCCTGATCTTGGATGTCTTTAGGGATGGGGCATCCACCACCTCTCTGGATGGACTGTCTTAAGGACAAGCTACTGATACCATTTTAAAAAGCCTTATTACAACATACAGGGCAGTTGCAAAAGAAAGCTCATTGTGCGCATCATTGTACATGCAAACTTGTGTAGCTCTGATGCTTTGTTTGCCAGCTAAGTGTTACCAAGTCTTCCTGAATTGTTCGTGGGATATAGTTCTCTCAGTGAAAGCTCAAGAACGTGGTAGCAAGCTTAGCTCATCACTTCTCTTTGGTGGAAGTAACACAGAAATTGTTATGAGTTGAAATGAGTTATTTCTCATTTTCAGTTTCATATTCCTCTTTCCTCTCTATTAGTAAATTCTCATCAATGTAAGTTACTTAGGTTCATGTGAGAAGAGAACACTCAGTTAGCTGTGTTACGTTGAATTAATTCTGCAGTTCCAGCAGTGGTTTCACGACTGTGAGTCCAAATGCCAGAGTTAAAATGAACTCTTTTCATGGTTTGTAAATGCAAGGCAGTAGAGTGTTCAGTAACTGTTAAATTTGTGATTTATCTATGATCTTGGCATAACTACAGTGCCAGATAATAGGAGGTTTGCTGTTGTTCCTGGGGGGGTAGTTCAGTTTTCTTCTTGTTCACTCAGTCTTGGTTGTTTTGTAAACATGTCTGTTAATATCTGTTCATGTTTTTAGTTTTTCAAGTGCAGGCACACTTTCTTTCTCTTATAACTGTGATATGGAACTCAAATTAAATGGCTTTAATCCACCGCTAATATAAATTCAACTGTGAAATGCTACAATAAAATGATAGTTACCTAAATGTCTTAAATTTATGATTCTTGTCAACACCTTTTCTCTTTATCTAAAATTATTTTTTTATTATAATACATTTTTCACTTTTTGAAGCTTTGAATACAACTGTTTATCTGTTGATGTGCCATGTTGCTTGACACACAGAGCATATTGTGTGTAACACAGCGACTAGTAGCTGCAAGGGTAGTGCTACATAATTCAGACCCTAGATATTCCCTGTGTTAATCCTATTTCCTGCAGTAAGAGCTTGCTTTCACTAGCAGCACCGACCTGATGTGAAGTTTGTGCTTGAATGAATAACATGATTTCACAGCCAATTTAATTCCCTAAGTGTTGTGCAATCTGTTACACTGTAAGCTCCCTCTTGGTTTGGTAGCAGTGCTGTGCTGTCATACTGCTCGTCTTTGATTTGGTTTTTGTGTTAGTGTGTATTTGTTAGGGTCTTATGTCTGCATTTGTCCGTCACAATTTGTTTTAATGGTTCATAGTTTCATTGTTTACTGGAAGATACATTCAGTATCAGTGATACTGATATCAGTGATAGTATTTTCAATAATAGATGAAATCATAGAATGGCCTGGGTTGAAAAGGATCACAATGATCATCTAGTTTCAATCCCCCTGCTATGTGCAGGGTCGCCAACCACCAGACCAGGCTGCCCAGAGCCACATCCAGCCTGGCCTTGAATGCCTCCAGGAACAGGGCATCCACAGCCTCCTTGGGCAATCTGTTTCAGTGTGTCACCACCCTCTGTGTGAAAAACTTCCTAATATCTAACCTAAACCTCCCCTGTCTTAGTTTAAAACCATTCCCCCTTGTCCTATCACTATCCACCCTCGTAAACAGCTGTTCCACTTCCTGTTCATATGCTCCCTTCAAGTACTGGAAGGCCACAATGAGGTCTTCCCAGAGCCTTCTCTTCTCCAAGCAAAACAAGCCCAGTTCCCACAACCTTTCCTCATAGGAGAGGTGCTCCAGCCCTCTGATCATCTTAGTGGCCCTCCTCTGGACCCACTCCAAGAGCTCCATGTCCTTCCTGTACTGAGGGCCCCAGGCCTGGACGCAGTACTGCAGATGGGGCCTCACAAGAGCTGAGTAGAGAGGGACAATCACCTCCCTCTCCTTACTGGCCACCCCTTTTTTAATGCAGCCCAGAACACAGTTGGCCTTCCAGGCTGCAAGCGTACACTGCTGGCTCGTGTCCAGCTTCTCTTTTCCTGGGACCCCTGAGTCCTTCTCTGCAGGGCTGCTCTCAGGGAGATCTTCCCCCAGTTTATATAAATACAAAAGCTGGAAGTTTGATTTTGATAACAAGATCTGGAATCTATTGGGTCAGTATTTATATGTTTACATCACAGTAAAGAAAGAAAAGGAGTCAGCTGAATATTTGGGAGTTGCTACAATATATTCATTTGAAAAAGAATTCTGAGGAAAAGTTTCTCATTCCTTATGTCTAAATCAGTTAGGGGCTTTGATTCACAGTTTTATCAGTACGTTCCAGAACATGTAAATACAACTCCTGTTCTTGTGTTATCTATCTGTTCTTAATATTCTGAACATTACAGTGATATACTTTGAAGGTGATAAACTTTTTTCCAAACAGTTAAAATCTAAGTTGGACTTAAGACGTGACTGTAAAGTAGAAATTGTCATGCATTCTAATGGAATGCATGACAAGTTATAAAACAAACATATAGCTTTTTCTATTGCTTTTTTTTTGATTTGTTTTGTTTGTTTTTTTATGAAGCTTGCAATAAAGCAAGTTGGTAAAGTTGGCTAAGCAGATGATGAAGCATTGTTCTGCGAGTTCCTTGGCTCTTATTAAGAGCCAAAACCTATCAAGATATAATAACTTTTATCAGTGTTGACTTTCTTCTTTGTTTGTGTCTTCCACATTATTACTTTCATTACTTTTTTTTTTTTTCCTTTTTAACTCAATTCCTTTTTTGTTTGTCTGGCAAAATAATAATGAGATGAGAAGTCAAGACTTAGAACAGTCTTCCTGCATAGATCTTCAGTACACTTTTGATGTCTAGACAAAATAATATAAACATTGCTTTTTGTACCAAATAATAATAATTGTTATCTGTTTTTTGTAGTGTCAGTTCTGTGAAAAGGCTTTTATGAACTATTCCTTTTTACAAGGTCATATGCAAAGGCGTCATCCAGAAGAATCTCAGATTGGTATGTACTTCAGTTCTTTACAGTGCCTTTTCAAACTAGTATTCCTACTGAATACTTCAGTCAATAGCAGACCTCAGAGCACAATTGTTTTTCTTTAGGCATACGTGTTATAAAGGAGTAGGTAAACGTGAACACAGTGCAGTAACGAAAACTCATTTTGTGAGTATATGTGAATGATTAGTACAGAAATAATCCAGCTTACCTGAAATCAGTTTCAGTAAGATCAGACTCTCCTGACTTTAAAATATGGTAAGAACAAGAAAGTGTCGAGAATAATCCAGCTTTACGTATCTGTGGTAATTTTGGTTGCTACACCACTTTTATTCTTTTCTCTCTTAATTGAAAAGCATTTAGTTTCAAAAGTACTTCTCTTAAAGTTTGCTTCGTTCATTCATAAATTTTCTCCTTCCTATTACACTACATGCTTGTGATTTCTACTAAGGACTAGCATGTATCAGGAAAGGGCAGTGATTGGAAAGGAGGAAAAAGAATAGCATTTGTGAGGAAAGAGAGAGAGGGAATCATCTTGCAAGGTGTGAACTGCATCTTATCAAGCAAATAAAAAAAACAGGAACAGTGAGTGGTTTTCCACTAGTAGAGTGGAAGAAGAAAAAATCTCCTGTGGACTTTACGGTTCATAAAAGAAGGTTGTGAAAGGAGCTGCAGAGCTAGTTGAACTAATTATCATATAAAGAATTAGCCTGAAATTGTTGTATGAGGGTAATATTTCATGTAGTTATTCTCTATAATGTAGTTATACTTTGTTATGTAGTTATACTCTACATTGTGCTTGGATTCCCAGATGATGAGCAGCATAGTAAATCCTTGGTAAACTGATAAAGGAGATTATGATTTTGACATATTTTAAACTTGAAACATTTTTAAACTCCTTCACAATGGCATTCCCCTCTCACTCATTCCAGATAAATAATTAGCTAGACTGATTATAAAAGTTACTTAGACAAATTGAACTTAACAGAAATGATTAATTGAGGTTCACTTAGTCCTTCACAGGTTCTTCTTAGAGTCTGTGTTCCTTGGACACAGAGACACAGAGAGTATGTGTTGCTTATATTCCTATGGTACCCTAAAATTAGTTTATATAATACTGTTCTTGCAAGTAGTTTATAAAACTACTTCACCAGTCTTTAATATTGGTATTTTTCAGTCTTTATCTTAAGATAATTTTAGCAGTCTGGAGAACATACGTGTTTAAAAGCATCTTTGGAGAATGTCGGTAGCTAGAAGGGAAGTTATTTGTTTGATGAAGTTTGATGAAGATGTCACTGTAACACTGTAGTAAAGCATTTGTGGTAAGGGACACTCTTACAGAAATTGCAACCAGTATTTTTAAAATCAGGTTTTCTGTCTTGTTTTCCTAGCAGAACAAAAGAGGAAAGCGAAGACGGACAAATTGCAGGATGAGATTGAGAAACTGAAGGAGCAGTTGCAGCTCACCAAATCCCAGTTAGAAGCGGAACAGCAAGCTAATGTGGTCAGATTTTCCAAGGTAATATGTACTGAATAACATGAACTTCTGAAAAGAAGTAGTGCCTTAGTCTGTGCTTGCATGTTTTGTAACTAGAATGGAGCAAAATGTATTCACAGCTTGCCTGCCTGGCAGAATATTTCTTGGGCAGTAGAACATAGCAACCTCACCTGTGATTTTTGAACATCTCCTTTCCCTTTACTTTTTCTTTTAGATGTGTCTTTCAATTAATACTTTGGGCAACTCTTCTCTTAGCACAGAACAGTTCATAAGGCAGGCATGGCTGTTATAGCAGCAGATGGAATTGGTCCTGCTGTGATGAAATATAACCTATATTTTAACGTGATGCTTTGTGATGGTTAAAAATTTCTTTAGATACAACTAATTTCATGTGACCTAGTAAACTAAGATATCTTCTTTGCTAGTAGAGATTTTGTTCTTTGCTGCAAAGAGATAACAGAGGTGTAAAACAATTTAAGGAAGTGAGATTGAGAAGAAACAAGGCAGGTTACTGAGAACTCGCATGTCCTAACAGGATTTAAATACTAGAGGCAAAGCAAAAGTAGTCTTTGTGCTGTGTGGATTAAAAAAAAACCAAAACTCTTAAAACAGAAAGATTTAAAAGCAGTAATTATTTGCAAATACAATGAAGGCGTAATTGAGCGTTACTGACTCTTGTAGTTGTGCTTCCTGCCTTGTAAAAAGAAATAAAGAATCTGTTACCTGTTTAATTTTTTTCATCGTCATAATTTCAGTTCATTTCACATTTTGCATTTTTGTTTAAGTAAGCTCAGTTGGATAGTTAGCCATCAAAATAGGGGTGGTTTTTTTTTTTTTTTTTATGAGAGAAGGGCTTTGAGGAGGAAATTCTTGGCATAAGAAAATTAGATACTTCTAATGATTGAGGTAAACACTTATCGTGGTATTATAGTTTGCTCTGTATTGTGATGAAAAAGTAGAGTACAATAAACCTGTTTGATAGAGAAAATTCTCAGCTACAAAACACTCATTTTCAGTCCACCATTAGCTGTGCATTTTCCCCAGCGATGAACAAGAGCCCACATGCTGCACTCCTAAAACCTTGCACCAGTGGAGATGACCCCTGGCAGTGTTGCTGCCACCCCTACTGAAATGCACCACCCACAGCCTCACTGTGCTGATGTCCACTGTTTGGTCTCCAGAAATGTTCAGGAAGTGTTGATGAATGTCAGCAAGCACAACTTCTGCATGGAGAAATTCAGTTACCCATCTCTACTTCACACACACTTCCATGTCAAACCTTTTGATACCATCTGTGGCACAGCAACAAATGTAATGGGATATTGATGGGAAGGTTCAACCTCTCCTGCATTTCCTAGAAAAAAATTATTGTTTTAGCCCCAAAATTCTTCAGAAATGTGTTTTTTTTTTTTTTTTTTTCATGCTTTTAATATTGCAGTATGGCCCCTTGAAAGTGCCTTTTTTCCACACATAGTCTGTCTGCTTGGAGTACTGTCGTATGTGAGTGGAAAATATTTGGTGATGTTTTAAAAATAATTTTAGGAATGTGAACAGCAGAAATCAAAAGAAGAAGAAATTCTACAATCTTTTCATAAATGGAAAGAAGAAGAAAAAGCCAAATTGGCTGACGAAATAGAAAAAGTGAAAGATATGTTTATGAAAGAGCTTAAGGAGTTATCTTCAAGAAATTCAACATTAGAAAATGTAAGTGATTTAGCTTTTCTAATATTTTAAGACGTGAATCCTTTACAATACATAGTGAGCTTCAGATATTTACAAAGCAATGTAGTCATCTTAAAGGCTTCTTAGAAAACTTACAGATAATGGTGACATAATAACTGTAACTATATCCTTCTAAATGGGTATTTTACTTAGATAATTGCAGTTCTTTTTAGTGACAGTGTTTTGGATGAATGATGCCTTCGGTAACCAGGTCAGTATTTTCCTACTCCTCAACCTTTTAAGTGACTGTTTCTAGATGAGTAGATGCTGTTGCCATTGCTGTCTATTAGACATGCATAATACTAGTATTCTCATAAGTGACGTAGAGGAGACTGATCTCTGCCTTACAGTCCTGACACTAGAGCTGCATATGTCTTCAATACAGTCAGAAGAAATGCTTCCCATAGTTCTGAAAAAATGAGGACTGTAAAAGATAGGTCAGGAAAAAATACACGTGACGTTATCAAAGCACTGATATTTTGTGGATGCTAGTTTCTGTGTATATTTGCAGTGTATGTCAATGTAAGATGTATGTGTTAAGAATTACACGAAATTTTTTGGATGATGAACTCATGAGAAATCTAAAGAATCTGCTCTGATCTTTGTGTAGCTATGTTTAAAGTACTTTTTGCCTTAAATTACAGTTCTGTAAAATAAAATCTTTATACATATTTGGGCCTTAATTTTCCTCCCCACTCCTTTCAGCAACTGTTAGCATTACAAACATCCAGCATGCAGAAATCCAATTTAGGGACACTGAAGGACAGCCATGAATTCATGGAAGAGAAGCCTCAGAGTACTCAAGATTATCACAAAGTGGTTAAACTTCTTGAAAAACAGGTAACACCGTATCTTAATGTACTGCTTTTGACAGACTGTTCTTGTTCTTTTTTTGTGCATCTCTGAGTAGAATTTTAAATTCAGAAGTAAAATGTTCATCCCTATCAACGTCTAAAATAGCTGTTCATAGAATCCACTACAATCTCTGTAATAGAAATTGAGGAATTATTTCCCTTATACTTTATTTTTATTCTTTTATTTATTTATACATTTAATAATAAAGAATATCTAGCTTTACTAAGCTTGGTTTGGTTGCAGTTCGCTTCCAGAAGGCTTTAATAAACCATTTATGTCTGCTGATCTGTGAGGCTGTTGGCAAGAAGTAAATTAAAAATGGAGTTATCCATTTTCTGAGGTGAAAAATAATATGAAGATGCTTTTGGACAGTGTTTGCCAACCAGTGGTTTTTCAACCATACAATACACTTGAACCTGTCTTTTGAAGCTTCTGGATTGGGACTGTATCATCTGACCAGGACTGATGCTGGGCTGGTGAAAACTTGTTGGACAAGCCTAAGTCAGACCATAAGAAAGTGCTGAGAAGGGTTGAGGGTGAGATAATGACACTGAGGCTCACTTGCACATCCAGGTCCAGATATCCAAAACTTGAGTTGTGAGGCCTTTGGGAATACCCAAAAACCTTTTTACTCTTATTTCTTGACACTTTGTAACATATGTTACATATTTCATTGATCTGGGAACTTCAAGGGATAGTGCTGGTCACTTCTGCTCAAAGATGTGGAAAACTTTAGTGCTACTTCAGTGTTTATTTTGTTAATGAAAATTTAGTTTACTCTAAAACTCATGTATTAAGGCTTTTTTTATCGTTACTATGGAAAATACATGCATTGTTAATGTTTGAAATGACATTATTTGGGAAAAAGTCATTACTCTTGCTATCAGTAAAAAACTGTATCAAAATGCTTGTTATTTCTTAATCACAGTCACCACGTATACAAAGCCAGAAGCAAAAATGTAGTTTTCAGAGCAACTAGTAAGTAAAACCACGCTCAGATGTATAAAACGTGCTGATGAATGCTCTGTGTCTTAAATGTGGGGCTACTCAAATTTCATATAATCAGTAATCTTTTTAGTACAAATCTGCACGTGTTGCAGTAGATTTTAATTTGTTGTTAACAGGAATTAATACTGATTCTTTTTGTTCAGGAAAGTAAATGGACATCTAGAATACAAGCCCTTCGTCAAGATCATGAAACAGAAAAGTCCCTGGTAAGTGGCACAGCAACCACGTATGCTAGAAGGAAATGGAATTCTTACTCTTGGAGTAGTTCTTCATATACAGTAATACATTCTTTGGGGATAGAAAGCCAAGATCTCAAGAGTATCTAAAAGTGTGTCTACTTAGATGCATTTAAGATCTTTGTATTTCAGTTGTACTAGGATGTTGAAGTTTCTGTTAAGGCCAGAGTTGAAGAGGAAGTTGTCATTTAAGAATCCAACAGGTGACTGCAACTGTACCTGTCTTTTGAAGGACTTGCAACTAATTCTGTGAACTCTGTATTATACAGTGTTTTCTGTGTTGTGTGGATATGCTAGATAGTTGAGATATAACTTGCTGATATGTAGCTTTCATCTGCCCTGCACCTTCAGCTGCCATAGAGCTACAGCATGTCACAGTCTTTTTTTCTCTTCTCTTTCATTTCCCTGCTGCTTTTTCTGTTGTAGCTCTCAAACTCAGAATCTGTTCAGCTTTTCAAGGAAAAATACCATGGCATTCTGTTTTGCATTGGCATGTCTATTTTACTATGCAAATCTTTATTCCTCAGGGCTTTTTTTTTTATGTCTGCATTTCTTTTTAATCTCTTTCCTGCTTTGTTTCTCTTGCCTCCTTTCTTTTCATTTTCCTTTCATCTGCGTGACCATGTAAGAACTGAGCAGATCATAGTGGTCTGGCCATTACTTCTCCTCCTTTGGCAAGAAAGCAGTGGGGAGGAGCCATGGAACATTCCCCAAAAAGGATGTAGTTTATGATACACCCACATACATGCAAGAATAGAATGAGGGAGGAGTAATGTAAGTATTACTTTTTAGATGGTGCACCTAAAATATTGTTTTCTTTCTTCTACATTCACGGCCAAAAAATATTAGGTTTCTCATGCCAATTCACAGTTTTTCTCCTTAAAATATTATTTTACACAATTTATAACCCAAACATTTTTATATAGTGATAGGCTTTTTCCCATAATCTTAATTTTTAGGCAATCTCAACAATGCTTTTGCATGCCCCCTTCATTGTATTGAGATTCAGGTGGACTTTGTTGTGCAGATAAAATATGGTTTAGACAAAGTCCCCATGAAATCAAGGGATGTTACGTTCTTGCTGAAAAAGTGTTAAAAATACCTAATTACAATATTTGTTTGTTTAAATCTTATAGCATTGAAGTATTTTATATAATATTATTATCAAGTTGTTTTTCTTTTGCTTTCTAGCTCCTATCACAGATTGAGAAGCTTAAATCATCAGTGAGAGAAGACCTGAATAAAAATAACACCTTTTACAAGAGAAGGATAGAAGAATTGGGAGAGAGGCTTCAGGAACAGAACAATCTGATTATTACACAAAAGAAGCAGGTCTGTTTTGTGAAGCAGTCTGTTTCAGAGAACACAGGAAACAGAGAAACATTTTCCTGTATAATTTCCAGTTGCACTGTTAATATTACCGGTTGGTAAGAGTATTACTGGGAGTATTTTGGTTACACTTTGAAAATAACACTGATAAATTAAAACCTGAAGAAGGGATGCAGGAATTAAAACAGTATTTGGAATGTAAGGTTTAACAAACCAAATGTTTTGATAAGTTCTACACAAAGAATTAGATTGTGATTACCAAAGCCCTCTGCAGATGAAAAATTTCTGATAGTGAACAGGATTTTGTCTGCCACAAGATGATTGTAACGAGTTCTAGTGTTTGAAATATGAAAATATGCAACTCTTAAACAAATTGACAAAACTGTAGAGCAGACGGGAGAACTGTTGATAGATTTAAAGTCAGTGTATACTTTAGTGTTTCCCTGGAGTGGAGATGGACTTCCAAACCTGACTGTGAACTGCTGAAGCATAAAGTGTTGAAACGCTAAGTACTGAGGTAACTCATAAACATGCTTTCATTTCACTTTATAGCTTGTATTATACGTAGTGCACAAAGGAAGAGCACAATATGAGTCTGTTATGATAACAAACAGAAATAAGTCTTAAACATTGGCTAAATGCGAGCGTAGTACACATTGAACAGTAGAACAGAGTTCCATAAAAGCAGCATTTTTCTCCCATAAGCAATAAGTCCTGGAATAGTACTGAAACTAGGTATTTCATACTAAATATACGTTTCTAGATATTGAGCAATTACATTTTTAACTGTTCATGTATCTGTCTTTTCTATTTTAGATAAAAGAGTTGTCCACAAAATCAGTTGCAAGCATCAAACCCTATGATAGTAAGTACAAAATGTAAACAAAAGCAAATTTTGTTTCTGATTTGAGCAGGTTGTCTGATACGAATCTTATAAGTCACAAAAAATAGACATCAAATTTTATAATTAAATGTTAAAATCAAATCAGCATTTTCATTTTCATGGGGTAACTACCTATAATAGCGTTTTTGTGCCTCTTGATTTCAAAGTTCATGTTCTGCAGCTCTCAGAGCATGCAAAATACAAAGCTTATAGTTTGAGAAGTGGTGTGAAAGCAGTACAGTACCACTATTTTGTATTGTGCAAACAACTTTTGCTTTTTTTCTTTATGAAGTGTCATTTTAATTGTTCTTCATGCCTGATTGTCCTTAGCCTGCGGAGCCCACAAAAGGAGAAATACTTAAAGGGCACGCAAAATGAATTAATGAATCAGTTAAGATGCTTATGTTTAAAGAATTATAAGAGCTCTAATGATATTTTTTGTCTATGCAATGCCTTTACTTCTGAAATTTATTACATGTAGCTAAACCTGTTAGTAGCATTTTGTGATGCAGTCCTGCACCATGAATGTCCCTATAGTTGATGCTGCAGTTGTAGTGTCTTGGAATAGATTTACTGCAATAGATGAGAGCTGGATTAATTCTTAGCTCGTTTGAAAACCACCTTGCTTTATTAGCTGGACATTGGTTTGAACTGAGCCTTAACAGCAGGGAGTGGGTTGGTTTGAGGAGTAAACAGCCACAGTATGGCTGTAGAGCTTCTCAGCTGGAGCTAGTCATACTCTGCAATGCTGCAGTGTTGACAAGTATAATACTGTGAAACACTAGGCTCAAAAACAGGGAGTCTAGGACTGTAGAATTGATGTGTAAGTTCACTTAACAGTTATGCACTACACATGGTATAGAAAGGGTTGGCATTGATCAGTAGGAAGTGTGGAAGAAGTAAAGATACAAGCCTTGATCAGAATAGACTTTGCTTTGGGGCAAGGCTTCTTCCCTGTGACACAGACACCCTGTATACGTGACCAAAGAAGTGATCTGACCAGGGAAGTTTCGTGTTCCAGTTCAGTGATGGTTTTGTTACTGGCTTCGTTTCTGGCTTCTGGGAGTATTATAAATATTGAGCATACACAGAGATTGTAGATTTGTTGTAAAGGACCATTTTTTACTTTGTAGGCTACTTGCTTTTCCCATTAAAGCAAAAAATTATGTAACTCATAATAATGATTAAATATTGCTACATTTCTGAATCTTTGTCTCCTATTGTTTGTTATAACACTTTTACTTTATTTTTCACTTCTATGCCCCTTTTAGCAAACACTGCAGTTGAGCATCTTGAAGAATCTAAATCAAGTCTACCTGTGATGTATGGTGAGTTTCTGCAATAGGCCCAGATTCAGCGCTTGTAAATTTAAAGTCTTCTCGAATGTGATCATAGCTGTGAGAGCAGTTACATTTGATGAATGCAATTTGAGTCACTTTGCTGCATGACTGCACTGAGGATTCCTGTGAATTACTTGGACATACTGAAAAGGAAAAAATGAAAAACAATAGAATTGAGAGTATTTCCTAGCAGACTCTTACAGTGTTGAAGTACATAAAGGTCAATGAAAATAATAATGAAGAGGAAAGATATATATTTTTTTCTCTTAGAAATTGGTTTTCTGGTATATGCACGCACTGGAATTTCTACCAAGGAAAATAAGTGGAGATGTTTTATAAGCCTTGAAATACTGTATTTTTCATATGACTTGTGTCAAGGATGAAAAAGAACAGCACTAATAATCAAAATTGGCAGTCATCACATCTAAATGGCTCCTCCAGGATCTCATATAGATCACATATGATGATATATATAAAATGATGTTGCAGAATCACAGATTGGCCAGGGTTGGAAAGGACCTCAAGAATCATGAATCTCCAACCCCCCTGCCACATGCAGGGCCACCAACCTCCACATTTAATACTAGACCAGGCTGCCTAGGGCCCCACCCAACCCAAATCTTCCCTCCTTCAACTTAAAACCATTTCCCCTTGTCCTGCCATTACCTACCCTTTCAAAGAGTATTCAGATTCCCCTCCTGTTTGTAGGCTCCCTTTAGGTACTGAAAGCTGCAGTCGTGGGGGAAAAAACAGGAACCTTAATTTACATTGTTTGATGCTTTGTGAAAACAGCTTTCATTTTCTCATTATGCAAACTAATGGCACTGTTTTTATAGCAATAGTCTGTGTTAAATTCTTACTTGCAATTCAAGTAATAAAGTAATATGAATAATGAACTTTGAGCAAGTAAAATGCTTAAACCTTAAAAACAGTCATTTATTATTTATTTTAATTATTGACATAAATACAAATTTATTATTACAATTGCTTTTATTTTTAAAACCTGTTAGAGAAGAAAGGTGGTTTGTCTAAGAAAAATGTACATAATTTTACTTTTTCAACAAATTCAGAAACTTCTGAAAAGATTTATGGAGAAGAGAATGGGCACAGTGCAACAAAAGTGTTACATAATTTGATCAAGAGTGAAAAGCTGATAGAAAATGAACTGTGATGTCAAAATACTTGTAATAATTAATAAGCTAGGGAAAAAGGGATTTTTGTTTTATTAAGTAAAGTTATTTGAATGAGACAGATATTTCTGACTAACTTACACTAAACAACTGTTCACTGCTAGAAGCTTTTTAAGTTAAACTGTACCTAATTTAATTGGGTGGAGAAAAGTAATGCCATATAGCAGAGTATTAATAGTAGTATTTTAAATAGTCTGTTCATGTTTTCATTCAAAGCAGCTTTCATTCCACCAACACAACAGTGCTGGTTTTAGCTGAGAAATCTCACAGCAAGTACTTTGGCTGAATTTAAGAACTGAGTTTCATCAATAATTTTGCTCTTAAGGGCTTATGTATTTGACAATGCTTGTCAGTCATTGCTTTTTTTAGTGCATTCACTTTCATTTTGACTGAGAGAAAACAATTCTATGAACACTATTTTCTGTGCTCTGACAGTTTAAATTAGCTTATTCAGTTACCTTTCCTGATTTCTTGCTGCTCTAGATATTGAGCTTTTGACATCTTATGAAACTTCTCAAGATTAAAAAAAAAAAAGTCTGTTCCTGCCATTGTTATTAAAAAAAAAAAAAAAAAGATTCACAATCACTTTACTATGAAACCTCAAATAAGGCATGTCCTTCCGATTCTTATGCTGATTATTATTTTATTTATCTCTGCAGGTCTCTCTGTCTGTCCCCTTTCTTCCCTTCTGGATATTTTTAAATTTACCCTACCTAATTTCTGGATAAAGAGGTTAGCAGAAATTGTAGTGACTTTTCCCAAAACTTTCAGGACTCTTCAAGACATTGAATTACATACGGAATTAAGATATCATGGCCACATTTCATGCCTTATGGAAAAGAAAATGCTTCTGGTAACATCTGTATACAAGTTTATTTAGTGTACATCATCTCTGTAATCAGAACTGAAGCTTTCCTACCAAACAATTACCTGCAGTCAGAATATCTTTCTTGTCCTTCTTCTTTCTTGTTTGAGAGAAAATTAATGTGGGAGAGAGCTCTTTTACAGCTTAAGGACACTTTTCAAAGTTGCTTGGAACCTTTTCCAGTTCAAGATTACTTCTGCATGTTTCAAATCTGTACTGTTGAAAGATACTCAAATTACAAATGAGGCATCCTAAGTGTGAGGTGGAATAACTGTGTTAGCTGGGTGCTTTTGTGATGATGATGTAGATTTCTTGAAGAGCTAGTAATGCCATCCCAACAGACCATTCCTGTTCAGGTTCTTGAGGCAGCTGTAGGTTTGTGCAGATATAATTGAAGTCTTTCCAAAGATGACTTCTATCTTATGAAAAGGGAACAGATGAATTAGAATTTATCGCTTTTTAAATGGACTTTGGCTTCTAGATAGCTCTTGAAATCTTGATAGTTGTTCAATATTTAATCTTTGTTAGGCCAATAATACTGGGTGGAATTAATGGACAATCTAATTAATCTTTTGCTTTTTAGCTACTGTCTTTAAAACCTTTGACTCAGTCTTGACATAACTGAAGCAACTCAGGAAAAATTAGTCAAAGTAGTCTTCCTAGGCAGTTACCAGGGGAAAGAAAAGGGACACCTTCAGAGTTTGGTTCAGCTGAACTAAGATCTGAATTGCTCTTTGAAGCTGAATTGCTCTGTGTCTCTTCTTTGACTGTAGGAGTCTGAGATGACTATACTCCTACCTTAGAGGCTTCAGGTAAGTGACTGAAATGTATCATATTTAAGAGTACTAGTTTGAAATTTATATTTATGCTGCTTATGTGCAGTAAATGACTGCCCATTGATTAATTATGAGGAAAATATATTATTCAAAAACAACAGTCAAAGAGACAGGAATCGGAGACTAAGCTCTTAGGATGCAAAATTTGAGTGTAAATAAGAAAATTCAAGGAGTAAACAATGACTGTAACCATGGCTCACGTTTCTTACATCTTTAAGAAGTGCAGCAATTTACAGTAAAGAGGCATACTTTATCCTTGGTTTTTATTTGCAAGCACAAAGTGCTTACTGTGGGCCTTACTTCCCTATAGACAATTGTACACTTCTGTTCAAGTTAAAAGCACTTTAACATTTTATATTTCAGAGAAAATAGACAGGATTTCTACTTCAAGTACTGACCAAGAGTCTGGTTTATCCACTAGCACTATTAGAATATTGTGAGGATTTTCTTGGTTTTTTTTTCCTAGATAAAAACACACCAGTCGTATATGATATGCTGGAAAGACAAGCAGGCTGAATTCTTCACTATTGTTAAATACATTTTCCTATTCTTCCTGTATGGAAATTGTCATCAAGTATTACTTAAAACAGAAATTTAATGATTAATCAAAGTATTCCAGACTCAGTTATCTCTCCACACATATCAGCTGGCAGAAGATGTAGTCTGAAAGATACAGAAAAACACTCTCATTGTGGAGGTCATCTTAAGGTTGCTGGCCTAATGATAATTAGTATTAATATGGCTGGGTTCAGGCCAGCAAGTCAGTGATATATGACTACAGCCACTTTGCAGTAAGACTGGTGTTGGCAGCTACCGTTTAGTTTGGCTCAAGTCTGAACCTGGTGATAAAACTAGGGTTATGTTTAGGGCTGATGTTGACTGCTGACAAGTGGTGAAGACATGCCTAGAACTTGCTCTATAGGCTAGGTGGAGAATTTAGCAACAACATCAATGTGAGCCATTTAGTTAGGATCAGGTGTGGGACTGCTAGAGAGTACCAAATAGAATTAGGTTTGGAGTTGCAGTGGTTAAGGCCAGAAGGAGAAAAAAAAAAAAAATTACAGTAGGGTCTGCAAAAGGCTGAATTCACCCAGAAACACCTAGTTTTTGCTGAGCAAAGAGTTTACAGGGGTCACTGGGCTTGGGTTAGAATTAGGCTTAGGCAGATGTTGATCAGCAAAACAGGGTTACAGTTGAGTTGAGATGGAACAATTAAGCTACGTAGCAGCAGCAGAGCCTGCCTGAATAGGTTTAAGTATGAAGTTGATATTTATCTATTTTATAATTGAGAAAGGGGTGGATCTGAGAGTCAGGGTTCAAATGGTGTCAGTGAACAAAGTATAATTGAGGTTACATCTGAACTGCAAGACTGATACAATCTCCAGTTCTACCAGTACCCTGGCACTTAAGCGATTGCTAACAATAGGCAATAATGGTTAGGTGCTGCTCATTAGCTAAGAGCTAAGAGGTCTGATCAGACTGCTAGAAGATGGAAAGTCTCTGGTAAACTTCAGGAGTGCAGTTCCTTAGGGAGTCATCTGTACACCTGTCTTTCTGTAAGCTGCAGGAGTGGTGAATGAAGCTGCTTTTTCTCAAGATGATGTTTGGTAAATATCACACAGAATATGTGTACAGTACAAGTGAAAGAAAGGCCCACTTACACCGAAGAAGTTGAAGTTTCCAAATATTGCATTCCATGTGTTAGGATTTGGTCTGCTGTCGTCATGCAGCACACATTATTCACATATTTTCCACAGTGGTGATGCTTGTTTGGTTTTCCTTTTCCATTTCTTATTTTACTGGTTTTAACTTCTGTTTCTAGTATACTGAGGAAGATCCACATGCATCATCTTTCCAGATTACTTTCAATTCTGAATTCTGGAAAATGGGCTTTTTCTTCAAAATTAAGTTAGTCAGCAAGGGCTTATGGTGAGATGAGTCATCACCTTTAAGTAGATTGCATCGAAGTAAAGTATAGGTGAAATGACTGTAGATAAAATCCAATTATGTAGCAACTGTCTGTGTAGTAGGTCCAGCCAATAAAAATGCTGGGTCCTATGCCATGCAATAGAATTAAATTGCACCAGTGTCACTCATCTGTGCTTCAGACTCTGTCATCCCAAACGGAGTCACTGCTTTGGATGCAGGTTGGTATAGGGCAGCAGTGCATCAAGAACAGCTTTGGGAGTTAAGTAATTTGGAGGATCATATTGGAATGCCCAGTACTGTTCTGGCTGTTGTTAAATATGAAGCCTTAGAGACTAAAAGACTGAGAGACTAAAAGACTGAAAGCCTATTTGTCACTCTGTCTCTGAGTTTTACTTTTAACTGTTTCCCTAAAGGATGCTGACATGAGCATCTTTTTAGCATCTTATGATGGATGTAAGAAAAATTTTTAGAACTTCTTTTATACTTCTAATTGTATTGGAGAAAATCTCAAGTCTTGTGACCTTGAGAGGCTCTTCCAAGAACATAACTGCAAGTACAGAAAGCATGGAGAGAGCAGCTGTCGTACAAGGAGGGATTACAGCACACTCTTTAGTCCCAGTTCAGATGAGGAACATTGGAAATAGGACATTTAGCTCCAAGTGCTCAATTCACTGTGATAACCCATCCCAGAGCATTAATACTTGGACCCTATCATACAGGAAGTGCTGAGGAACAGACGTCTCTGCAGTAATGTCACTTCTTCCCTTTCTGCCAGTACAGCATGGCAACCACTTACAGTGCCAGAGGATTCCTGTGAAAGCTGAGGCAAATGTATGCTGACCCAAAATACTGGCCAGCGCATCTTCTCTTGTACCGCCAGTAGCTGAATGCGGAAAGTATTGCTTTCACATTTCTCTGTTTTTGTGATAAACCTAGAAGAAACTCAAGTTTTAGTTTTTATTGCAATTTCTTTATTCGTGAAAGGTAAATATTAATATTTCTAAAAACTTACTTTTTTATTAATTTACGTTAAAGCATTTTCATCCATCTTTTAAATATGAAGTCTATAGAATTGTAAATAAACTGTTCTCTGACTTCACTTGTGTAAAAGCAGTTCTTGATAGCCTACGGAATAATAACTTCAGTGTTTTTAGGAAGCCTTTTTCCAGCAGAAGATGCTTGAAGATTTCTTTAAAGCAGGTGATAATAAATTTCCAACACAATGTATTTTAAAATATTCTACGATTTAGATCTCTGTATAGAAAAATGTTGTGTCTTGCGCATATGGATTCACTGCTTACTAATTCTCTAGATTAATGAGTTATCAGACTTTTTTTTAACATATTTTTAGAGGGTTTCTACATCCATCCATTTCACCTGCCTTTTGTAAACTACTAAGACACAAAATGCACATAAGCAATACTTAAAGAATGCATTTTTAAATGAAAATGATGGATGAGAATATACATTTATTCACTCTCAGGTGGCTTTGTCTTTGGATATGCCTAAAACCATTCCACCTGGCTACCATTCCAAGAAGACAGGTTTTCTAGAGTTCTGTGACCTATTAGCCACCCGTGCAGGTGGCTTAAAGCTGATGTATCTGAGGTGATACTGGACAGCAAGCTTAGGCAATTGAATCATTCTCAAAGTAACCACTGTATTAGGGTCTCCTCTACAAATATTTCCTATCAAGGCAGTATTTATGACTTTGAAGAGTCGTATTGCATTGGGTTTGTGATTAATAAGCAGTTTGTAAGCAATCAGGAAAATTGACATCAGTGTGTTTTTTTGCCTTACTGTCCCTCTCTGGACCTTGACCTTCTTCTGTCCTGTTTGTCTGGTGTTCCTGTTCTTCCTCGTTATTAGAGCAGGCCCCCTTGGTACATATGCTGGAACCCATAGAGGAGCTTTCAGAAGAGGAAAAAGGTAATGGTTGGTTCAGAACAAAATGTAGTGGCATGTTTTTCTTGAAAATAAAAATGTGAATATTATTTTATGTGTACAGTATTTTTCATTGTGCTTGAGTATGCTTATCTGGTTTGGGTGGGAACATTCCTTGTACATGTCAATTTCCTTTTTGCCATTGGTGCTTGTAAATATTATGTTTTCCTTATCCAAGTTCAATATGTTTTTGTGGAAATCTTAATTCCTTAAAGCAGGCATATTCCATATGTATAAAGGCAGTTGAGATAAGCAAAACAAAAATGATTGATGAGGAGTAGCCCCCTCACTAGGAAATTCTTTGGTATAATCTGATGGTGTTGATGCTATTGCAATGTATGCTCACTTCTTTTACATACTTGTCATAAGCATGTAAATAGTTCAGATAGTGGAAGGAAGTTTGTGGTGGAAGCTGAAACTGCCAACTTTTATACATGGACCAAAGATACTTTTTGCGAGTAATTTAAGTTATGCCTACCTCTGCACAGCCACAACTTCAGCCAGGGTTGTATTCAGTGTTGGTGACTTGCCATATGTTGATAGCTGCCAGTGCCAACTTGGCAGCTGGTCATCTGCTTCATTTGAGGAAAACTTGGGCAAGGCTACATTTACAGTGTCAGATCAAGAAGCGTTGGTTCGTTTTTGCATGGTGTTCTGCTGGAGGGAGCTAGCAGTATTTTAGATGAAAATCCAAGTGACTACCAAGCATGATAATCTGTGCTGTGTGTAAATAAATAAATAATAAAATAAAACTCAGTTTTGAACTTTATAGTCAGTGAATTTAAATGTTGTAGGAATAATGCTCTTTTTGAAAACAAAAATGTCATTTGAATACATCTGTGGTTAAGTGAGAGGTTTCCCCAGGGAAAACCCAATGACTCCGTTCCAGTCTGAAATAAGGACTGCTTACATTTTTGCCATTCTTTCTGCTATTTCTCTTGCTTGCCATCATCTCTTTTGATCGATTGTCGTCTTCTGTGCCTACAGGCATGGCCTACAGTACGAAAGAAAGAAAGAATGCAGTCTGAAAGGTTAGACCTAGATTTTTTCTGTTTGCAATGACAGCCATTTATAAGGGAGAGTGTGAAAATTCTTGACTTGGCAGATTGTTTCACAGGATTATGTAGAAGCTGAGGCAGTGGACCACGCTTGAGATCCCTTGTCTTCAAAGCTGTCCAATCTAATGCTTTTTTGGTTTGTTCTTTTTTTTAAAACAAAAATGAGTAAGAAAACAGTTCCTTAAATAGTTGGCTCCTGACAAAAAGCTTTTGTTTTTAGTTAATTAGAACTAATATTGTCATTAATTAGGATAATACTGGATGGTCCTGTTACCCATATTAGTGAGAAGTAATTGTGAATAAAAAATGATTTTAGATAGACCTTTGTTATTGTGGGGATTAACATCAGAAAAGGACAGGATTTTTGTTAAGCTCTTTGGAGCCATGCGCTTAAAATGTATGATGACTCACATCAGGCTTTCTGGGAGAACTTCATACTGTTCATTGCCCCTTTTCCAGAATGGGGACAGTCTAGTAGTTCTACCTTTCAGCTCTGACCAGTAGTTTACCTCTTCTAGGACTTGATTCTCCAGCCACATCACTTTAAATCCCATGTATGTTGGGGAATGAGTTGTCCACGAAGTTCCCAAGGCCAGATAAAATTGTAGCCAGATATTGCCTTCTTCAGTACGGATCTCATAGCATGGTAGTTGGAATCTTTCGGTCTTTATTTCTTTCTTTCCTGGGTCCAGTGAAAGCATCCTAGAATAACCTAGATATTCTTTGTGTATGTCGAAGCTTTTTCAGTTCTTCTTCTGGATGAGAACTAAATGGACAGTTTTCTATGTAGAAGGAAAAGTGGCACATTTCTTTTGGAAAAAACAAACAAACGAAAACCATTTGAAAGTCATGGTATGGCTTTATTCCTTCAGTTATATCTTTGTCTTTGGGCTGGCACATGATTCTAGAGCTCTGTAAAGCATATTGGAAAGAGAGAAGCTCCTGCCCAAGATTTACCTTTTATTTTGGAGAGGGAAGTTGGGAGTTGAGTTTACAGCATGCTTTCCTGTGATGCTGTGTATACCTCTGTGTATGCTTTGCAGTCTGTGCTGACTGCTGCCAGTCAGGAGCAGGTACTGTGGAACCACTGATTATTGCTTCACTTGGTGTCTAAGTAGCACACGGTAGAATTTCCCTCTTGGCAGAGACACTTCACAGGCAGGTTCTAGGTGGGTGTGTTTTGCTTCTTTACTCTCCTGTATGACCTTTTAATACTCTGACTTAACTTAAATGTCAGTCTTTAATTTAGGTTAAGAATCTGTATTATGATTCTTTTTATCTTGTGTAAGAGTTCATGTTTTTACTGACACTTAAAATAAGGGAAAGAGGTAGAAAGTTCTTTGTCTGCTTTAGTATGTATGATGGTGTCATTGACCTGTAGTAGAAAATATGACGCTGAACTTTGTATTTGAAAGAGTTTTAAAGATAAGTAGTATCAGTCGTGTATTCTGTGAAACAATTTGCCTCATACTGTGCCTTTGTTTTTACCAAGACTTTTGAAAGTGTTAGGACTTTCCAAAGAACTCAGTAGGTGTTTTTCATGAGACAACACTGTTGCTTGATTCTCTTCCTCTGAACAGGTTTGTCGTATTCCCATTCTAATTGCTACTAGAGTCTTGCTTTCATTTGAAATAGCAATTTTAGAGGACTTAATTATCAGAAGACAGTCTTTATCAGAAGTTCCAAAGAACAGTTCTGAAAGTAAAGATCTTTATGGTTAAATATTCAAGCATGCATCTTTACGGCAATTTTACAACAAGAAGAAATAAGGCGGTTTTGATGGTGAGTGCTTGATGCTGAGTTTGTTTCCAAGTGAGCTGACCAGATTTTTAAAAGACTACACTCTTGTAGACAAAAAGTGGACTTGTATGTCTATGGTGCTTATATAAATTGCATGCCTCAATGCTGTTTTCAACTGTCTTGTGTAGTGCAGATTGAGATTCCTTTTAAATGCATTTTTTTCATTCTTATTTTAGAAATTGAGAAAGACGATCTTAAAACAGGTAGAAGTAACCAACATTTAATAAATGCTTTGAAGACTGATCCTTCTTTAACTAAAGAATTAAGAGTTGTTTTGGAGCAAGCCCTGGAGGAAAAACTGGAATCCTTGGGAATCAAAGCAGTAAGATTATTTTGTGTTCTTTAAAAGACGGATAACATTTGACTCATTTCTTTATTATTCTCTCATTTCTATGCCACAACCCTCAACCTAGAAAATTCAGAGCTAAATTTCCAACCGTTATAAATCAGTGTAATTCATTAACCTGAGGGAATTTCCAGCAAATTACAGCTGTGGACAATATGACCACACCTGTTAGCAGTCCTTTCAGCTTATATGATTTTTCTACGAGCTTTTTAATATTTGAAGTTTAAAGACCGTTTGTAATTCTAGGGTAATAAATTCAAGAAACAATAGCCCTTGTGTTTACAATGCAATTTGTTTCTCTAGGGTGTCCGTGGTATCCCGAATGATCGCTTAAATAAAATCCTGCATGCCATTGAATCTGCTAGAGAGCACAAACTGAAGCAAGAGCCTGACATTCAACGAATTCGAGAGTATCTTGAACGCCAAGTCAGCTTTAGGGTTGTAGAGAGATCAACATTGTCTAACAGAACTGTTTCCAGTCCTTACATTCCTTCTGAAGGTTAAATTTATGTGTTTTTCAGTTTAATTAAGTTTTGCTGCTAAGATACATAATATTTTATCCAGAAACAAAATCTAGATATGTTTTGTCTAGAAATGCTTGTGTGTAGCTGCTTTCTGAATTTTTCATTTAACTATTCTGTGTAGTTAAGGCCAACTAGGCTTTTTCCTTCCGAGTGCTGTTGGTGATGTGTTTAATTGAAGAAAAATTACCTCTTGTATTGGAAAAGATGCATGAAAACTGAACTGTTTTGAAGAAAAAAGAAAAAAAAAATCCTATAAATTCATAATCTGCATAATCTTTAATTTTTGAAAGAAATTAGATGGTGATGTTAAAGATGCCGAGCATTGCTTCTAATAATGAGATAGAAAACTTCACTTGTAGGTAAACAGAAGTTCAATCAATTGGGAATTTCCTCATCTACCATACCACAAAAACCAGTAAAACGGTCTTTGACAGCTGTCCGCCCAGCTGAACAAAGAGCAGCCATCGCTGAGAACACATCTACACCAAAGTAAGAGTGCTACTCTCAGTCCTCATACCTCGGGTAGAAATCCCCTGTGGGTGTGATTTTTTTTTGAACTAATGCGTTTCATGCTAGTATATTGTAAGAATTAAGAAAGTAATTTTTTTTTTCCCCTATATAAACTTTAACTGGTTGGCTGTCAGCACTGACATGATTTATTTCATTATTTTTGGATGCAGGAAGCTCATCGGAAGCGAAGCTTCCAGAAGGACATCTAGTATCACGTATGTTTTTCTTTTCCCGTTGTATTTTTGAAGAAAACATTATTGGTGCTTGCAACGTAAGACCTATTATGAAGTTCAAATGACAAACACTCTTCTGGACTCTCCCTCTCCCCCTGATCCGAATCTGTTGTTATAGTCTCTGAATGACAGCATGTTCTCAATTCAGCAGATGTTTCCCTTATTGGGAACCAGAGAGAGACAATCAAATGAAAAATCAATAAATTCCTAGCCTCCTAGAAGCATTTAAAGACTTCAACCTTATCTTTTCAGCTTGTTGATATTTTTTATTATTATAACCAGAATTAAGCACAATATTCCAGGTCTCCTCAAGCATGTTATTATGTAATTTTCTGCACTGTAATTTTTGTTTTCTGGGTGATATTAGTCATGCAGTGCTAAACTCATCAAGACAGAAGTAGGTTGGATCTGGATGTTAACGTCTAATTACCAACTCAACAGTTATTCTAACTTGATTAACTTAACTGTTATGGAAAATTCCTAAATTATTTTCATCATACAGAATACATAACAGAACTTCTGTGGTGCAAATTCCATGGCCCTGGACCTTGCTCTCACAGGAAAGCCTATTGTTGTTTGCTTGGCAAGAGTTTTTATATGTTGGTGTGTTGGTTTTGTAAAGGTAGTTACATAGGCGGAAATAATCACATCTAAGAGATAAGAGATCTCTTAGATCTCACAATATAAGAGATATATTATAATAACCTCTTGAGTTTACTTAGCAGCAGAATTTCTTTTTGAGTGGTTTTATGGATAGCTGTAATTTATGGGAGTTCCTGTTTTTCTTCCACATACTGAGAATGCTTGTGTTACTGTAAAGGAAAATACAACAAATCTTAAAGATGTATATGTCAGTGAAGTCACTGAAACCCAGCAAGTCTTCAGGTTTGTGTGTTTTTGTTTAGAACTCCACCATTCAGTTCAGAGGAAGAAGCAGATGAAGATGATGTCAAACAGTTGCACATATCACGAGAATCATTGCAAAAGCAGTCAAAAACATCAAGCAGCAAAGTCGGTGCTTTTCACATGGCTTCTGACAAAAGTGATCTGGATGGGACAGAGGAAAGTGAAACTGAAGAAACAGGAACACCTGTCAAAGCCTCAAAAGGTATTTTCCTTCTTTCATATATGTATGTTGTAACAGCTGTGCATGATTTTTTTAATGGTAATATTTCTGTGTTGGAAAATAACAAATGCAGAGTATCTATCTTATGTATGTGTGTTTGTATGCAATTTATTCTTTTGGTAATATATTTATGTTACTGTAGTGCTTACAGATGTCAAATAAAATCAAATGAATATCAAGTTAGGTGAATGCATGCAGAGAAAGATACAGTCTGTGCTTCCATGAGACTCCCAGCTTGAACTCAGATTGGTCACTGCAGTAACAGAGAATAATTAAATCCTTTTACAAATATATTAACAGTAAGAGAAGAACCAAGGAGAATTTCCATCCTTTACTTAATGCAGCAGGGAACATGACCACTGTGGATAAGGAAGAGACTGAGGTTCTCAATGCTTACTTTACATCTGCCTTTAATAGGCAGGTCAGTTATCCTCAGGGCACTTTACGCCCTGATTGGAAGTCTGGGATGGAATGCAGAATACACCCCCAGTGATTCAGGTAGGGACAGTTAGAGAGCTCCTTTTCCATCTAGACTGTCAAAAGTCCATGGGACCAGAGGGACTTTGTCCTAGGGTGCTGAGGGAGCTGGTAGAGGTTATTGCCAAGCTGCTTTCCACCATATATCAGCATTCCTGGTTGTCTGGAGAAGTCCCAGAGGATTGGAGGCTTGCCAATGTGACTTCCATCTACAAGAAGGGCTGTAAGAAGGATCCAGGGAACTACAGGTCTGTTAGCCTGACCTCAGTACCAGGGAAAGTTATGGAGCAAGTCATCTTGGCTGAGATCACATGGCATGTGTGTGGTGCCATCCATGGCATCAGGCCCAGCCAGCACGGGTTGTGCTTGTCCAACCTAATCTCCTTCTGTGACTGTATGACCAGACTGGTAGACAAGGGAAAGTCTGTTGATGTAGTCTACCTAGACTTCAGCAAAGCCTTTGACATGATCTCTCACAGTATTCTCCTGGGGAAACAGTCTGACTGTGGCCTGGACAGGTATACCCTTTGGGTAAGGAACTACTTTGGCTAGAGGGCTGTGCCTAATGGGTAATGGTTAATGGAGTCAGGTCCAGTTGGTGACCTGTTACAAGTGGTGTCCCCCAGGGGTCGGTACTGGGGCCTATCTTGTTTAAAATCTTTATTGATGACCTAGATGAGGGATTGAGTGTACCCTCAGTAATTATCCTTTGCTAATGGCACAATGGCCACAGTAACCTCATGCAGTACAATAGGCTTGGGGCTGAGTGGCTAGATGACTGTGAAGGAGAAGGGGACGTGGGGGTATTGATTGATGCTCAGCTGAACATGAGCATGAACATGAACAGTGTGCCCAAGTGGCCAAGAGGGCTAATGCCATCCTGGCCTGCATTAGAAATAGCGTGGCCAGCAGGAGCAGGGAGGTGATCATCCCCCTCTACTCAGCACTGGTGAGGCCGCACCTCGAGTACTGTGTGCAGTTTTGGGCCCCTCACTACAAGAAAGACATTGAGGCCCTGGAGCATGTCCAGAGAAGGGCAACGAAACTGGTGAGGGGTCTGGAGTACAAGTCTTATGAGGAGAGGCTGAGGGAGCTGGGATTGTTTAGTCTGGAGAAGAGGAGGAGGCTCAGAGGAGACTCATCACACTCTACTCTACTCCTGCAGGGAGGTTGTGATGAGGTGGGGATTTGGCCTCTTCTCCCAGGCAACAAACAGGACCCAAGGAAATGGCCGCAAGTTGCACCAGGGGAGATTTAGATTAGGCATAAGGAAAAACTCTCAAAGACCAGCCAGGCACTGGAATGGAGTGGTGGAGTCACCGTCCCTGATGGTGTTCAAGAGGTGTCTGGATGAGGTGCTGTGAGATATGGTTTAGTAGCTTAGTGGATAGTAATGGTAATAGGCAGAAGGTTGGACTAGATGATCTTGTAGGTCCTTTCCAACCTTGTGATTCTATGATGATTCTATGATTTTTTTTCCAAAACAGTCTTTCTCAGGCTTTATACTTTGTAAGAGATTTTCAGGAGATTTACAGTAAAACCTCAAGAACAGTTGTCATGCCTGCCTTTTGAATCAGAATTGCCAGTGTAATGTTTTTTTATGAACTTGTAGGAACTGTTATTCAAAAACTGACTGAACAAGTTGGAAAGAGCCTTTCTAACCACGGAAATAAGAGCAGGCCAGCTGGAGGGATAGATGTTGCACAAGCATTTATTAAGAAAGAAGAGGTGCAAGAACCCAAGGTATTAATTTTAATAATCATTATTAAGTAATTGAACTGAATATTAAGTAATTGAGCAAGATCTGTTACATTTATTTCATGCTAAACCTGTATTGATGAAGATCTTAATTCTCAAAGATGTTTTTGGAGGTACAGCTAAGGAGTCTTTTTGAGTAATCTAATACCTTAAAGTATTTTTAATTCTAGAGCTCTATCTAATAGGGAACGTTGAATAGCATTTTAATGAGAGTACAGGTTATACTTTTAAGTATGGTATTTTTTTCTATATCTATTTTCTAGTTAATAATCATATACTTTTCTTAGACTTCAATACTGGTTCACTGAGTATGGGCATTCGCAAGCAGAATTCTAACATAACTTGTTCTTTATCCCTCAGTAAAGCCCCAGTCTTCCCCTCACTATCAGGTTTTATAATCAGCAAGTCACTTTGGTGCACATTGATCTTTACTTGAACATTTTTAGTAAGAACAAAAGTTGCTCCAAATCAGAAGTCAGCAGCAGATATTGCAGTTTCAGATGCAGTAGGTTATTGAAACAGATGACCAGATACTAGTTCTATCATTCAAGAAAATACATACATGTATGTTAGTTGTTAATAAACAAATAATAATTACTGAAAATCCAGTTATCCATGACAAAACTGACACCTTAGGGCTTCCTGACTAACAATTAGGTATGAAATTTTTCACTCATCGCAGAGATAGTGACACTTCATTCCAGTTTATAGAAAGGGGTGATGGTATTAATGGTAGCTGTAATGGTAGGGTGCTGTCAGTTGCCACTGCTGACACCTAACTTGTCCATTGACTGTATGAGAGCTGCACATCATACCAAAGTCAAAATTATCAAATCAGACATGGCAATTAAAATGCAATTTTGGGTCTAATGTTATTTTCAAATTCTCTGCAAAGCCGGATGATATGATACAATAAAACGGGCACAGTAATGTTTAGGGGATGTTATGTTTAATAAGGATCTGTAAGTGTTTGGCCACTGCAGTAAGAAACTTGGGCTTCATGAGCAAAAAGCTGTGGCAAAGTAAGCCTTAAAATCTACGTTCGGCAAAGATAATTTTGCTGTAATTCATTTAAAATAAACAGAATATACAGTGGCATGTTGTGGTATGGACATAATGAGTTAGAAATGAGTTTATGAACCCAGGGCAAGGATTGCTACTTTGTTTCTGGAATCTTTACAAAAGCACACACCCACTTTGTATTCTTTGCTAATTATATAGGAATGTGTGTATCTTCAGGTTAATATTTCCACGTTTAAATGTAGGCAAGTTCAAGGTAATTTTCTACATTTTACTTAGGATTCTCAAAGGTGCCTAAAAGTATATGTGCAAAATGCCATCAACAAGATGATTTCTCTCAAGATCTGTTTTTTTAATTAGCATAAGGTGGCTTACGTAGTAATAGCTGCTAATGGTCATTCTCAATACCCATCATACTATAACAGCTCTCTAATACATCCACTGACATGTCTTACAAAGGCCATGTTTTACAGAACATCCTTCAGGAACATCTTAGGGACTTTGTGCTTATCTGAAGATGTACAAGCATTATCTGAGTTTACCACATACTGTATGGGTTACGGGATTTGTTGATGGGAGTCTTTGAGTTAAAAAAAAAAAAAAATTGCCTAGTAATTTTGACTGAGACCATTTATTTTACACTTGATCGATACTGAACTGTGTTTGAAATTGATAGTTTTCTCTTTATTTTGCACTTTAAAGTCAGCTAAGACTGAGCGAAGGAGGAAACGCTTTTTTGAGTATATGTGACTCTGACTTTCTCACTGCCACACCCTCCAAATGCAGATAATTTGAAATAGCAAAACGTTGAATCCTGGTATGTTAATAATACAGCACAGCACACAGATCTGTCAGCTTCTGAAAAGCTGTTTGCAACAGTTATGAATGTAAAAAATTGAATTATGTTGCAAAAAAGCCAGCATTACTCCAGTTTCTTCTTTCAGAACACACTACGTGTTCATATTTGTGGATTTCTCTCCAGTATGCACGTAACTTAGGTTGTTTCCTGATAATATTGGAACCTTTCTTCTGTGCAGCGGAAGCACTTTCTGTATTTTATTGTAATATTCAGAGACTGTAGTGAAATCAGGTTTTAACTCTGTGAGAAATGATCTTATCGTACTGTGGCTGAGCTCTGTAATAATGGCTAGATTCCATTAACCACCACTGACTGGCAAATAGGGAAATGCTGTAGCTCTTCTTTCAAAAGGTGGATGAAGATATTTAGTTCTCAGGCCGATGAAATAACCCAAAGGCAGCAAGTCCATGCCCTTTTTTATCTGTTTGATTTGACAGTCGTTTTGTGAACTCGATATGCAAATCCATCATTTAATTAAAAGTAATCATACTTGTACATACTGATAGTCAGTCTTAGGAGGAATACACATTTCAACTTTGAGCACCATGTTTTTAAATTTTATTCTTTAATTTTCCCTTTAAATAAATGAGTTTTAGATTGAAATGGCCTTTATCAAAGCATTATTTTCTTAGTGTCACTACAGAAAGCTTATATAGCAAACTAAACTACTACCTTGCATGGTATCATAGTGTCTCTGTTTCTGTGTAAGCAGTATTCATTCTAATGTTTAAAGGATTTTTCATCTCATTGGAATAGCAATTTTCCAGAAGAAAAAACGCTTTTAATATGTGTGTGTAATGTATGTATATATGTTATTGAAATATGTGGAAGTTAAAATTATGGTGCTAGATATCACAAAGGCTGAGTGTATTTTTCTTCAAAGCCTACTTATTTATTTGGAGAACCTGATCTCAGTGGATCTTGATGAGAAGGGGAGAAAAAAATGTGCATTTTATCTCCATCAGTTCACAGAAGTAGATGAAGATGACTGGGATATATCATCTATAGAAGAAGACTATTTGTTGATGAAAGATAATAGTGGTCAGAAGGCATCAACAGCTCAGAAAAATGAGTCAAATGCTGCATCTGTTGTACATGCCTGGGGTCTTCCAAAAAAGACTGTACCAAAACAGGAAGGTAATACAGTCATTCTTTTACATTATAAATCTTAAGTGCTTGACACACCTAGAGGAAAACGTAAGTATAGTATATTACACATTGTAAAATACCATATACTGAATTACAGGAAAAAACACGTGTGGTATTTATATATAAGCTGTCAAGAAAGTTAAGCATGGCATTTTAAAACACATAGAATCATGGAATGGTTTGGGTTGGAAGGGACCTTTCAGATCACCTGGTTCCAACCCCCTGCTATGGGCTGGTCTTGAGAATGATAATTAGCTGTAAGGTTCACTCAGGATACTTCTCCAAGTGTTCTGCTGGGCTGTGAAACTGCATACTGACTTTTCCCTTTAAAAATAACATAAACTGTAATGTTGGCACTGAGTGTTTGTACTGTGCATTGTATTCTATGACAGAAAGATTCTTCGTATTATCAACATTTATAATTTCCTCAGTGGCTGAAGTTGTGGACTTCATGAAGTCCAGAGATATTTGCTCACACAGCATGATTCTTATAGAAACATAAATGTATATTAAAAATGCCTCCAAAATAGTATTACTGTTTTTGTTTTGTTTTTTTGCTGTTATTTTTACAGGTCCTCGTGAAGCTGATAATACAAGCACATTAAAAAGCAGCCTAGTCACCGTAACAGATTGGAGTGATTCTTCAGATATATAATAGTTAGATTCCTGATGGGAGGCGCTGCTTTTTGGTTTCTGTTGAGTTTGAAAATGTAATTGAAATCATCAAGTGTTTCCTGCTCATTTCTTACGCTGTTCAAGTGACAACAATGAATACTGTTTACAGAGCTCTTGTGTCTTTCAATCCTGAGTTTGTACAAAGAATTTTCATATATACATTGCTTGCCATCAGTATTTGGAAACTGAGAAAATTGTTCTTCCTTGTGAAGTCAGTGGTGAAAATCCTTGATTTCACTGAGGTGAGGAACATGCCTCTAATGTTTACTTTAATGACCAAACCTGGTCTTAGAAGAAAACCTGTTCATCAGTGAACAGAATTTACAGCAGAGTATTACTTTGTAAGATTTTTTAAATGCATATTTTCTTGTATTTTATCATAAACTTTATAGAAAATGGTGAGCATTTTAAATAGACTGTTTCCATGTATTCAAATGTTAAGTTTCTAACATTAAGTTTACAATAAATGCCAAAGGGGAAAAAAAGGCCTCAAAAATAAAAGTTATTACTAAATGCCTCCTATTTTGTGAAGTTACCCTTTCCACACATATAAGAATTAACTCTTAGTTAACATAAAAGCAAAAAAGAAAATGAAAGGAAAAAACACTTCAATCTGTTGTAAGGAAAAATAATGACCTTTAATTGAATGCATACATCCATATTTGTTGTGTGTTTCTTGAAAAGATACAGTGAGGTTTTAACTTAAATTCAAAAATAAGGCAAAATAAAAAGAGCCATGAATGACTTTGTAATTCCACTGTATTTTGGATGGTGTCAGATACAAAATTTTCTGTATTGTTGTACCATTAATAAATTGGACTATCTACTGTTTGTTTTTACACCTTTGTCCCCAAATAGCCATGGCAGTGAGATTCCAAGGTGTCATCTGTTCAAACCTCATGGCAGACCTGAGTTTCTGCCTAATTTTAGCATCTCAGTCTAGAAACAGAGATTTATAATCTCTGATCTTATTTATTGAATCATTGTATAAATGTTATCTCAGGACTCATGACATCTTTATAGACAGGCACAGAAAATGGATGAGTTGAATTTTTGAACTGCTGTAAACAAGATTATCCAAAATGGTTCTGTTTAGCACTCTATGCTTTATTTGGACAGCACTTCAGGAATTTCATTCCCAGTGCAAGCCACCTGGTTTTGCATTCTTGTTCTTCCTTGAGTTTTTTAACCTGGTCATTTGCAGTGTCTCTGGAGCCAAGGCTGGCTTGGTTGAGCAGAGATCTATATTAGGTGGAAAAAGAAAGGGTATGGCTACTGCAAATCAAGTCAGGCAATGTGGAAGGACTACAGAGGTGTTGTTTGCTGTTGTAGAGAGAAAATTTATGGGCCATAGCTCAATGGGAGTTGAATCTGGCCAGCACTGTGCGAGACAAACAAAAGGGCTTTTTATATGCATTAATGGCAGAGGACCAGAGGTAACATTACTCTGTTAACTTGGTGAAGGATGGTTGCCTCACAGGTAGGGTTGTTGGCAAAGCAGAGACTTAATGCCTCCTTTGCCTCTGTTTTCGATACTGATGGTGGGTTCTGGGATCCCCAGAGCCCTGAGGTCAGGACTGTGGCTGTGGTAATAACAAACTCCAGGCCAATCCTGAACTTGAATGGAATTTGCTCCTGCCGTATAGGTCTATGGAGTCTAATGGGATTTATCTCAGGGTGCTCAAAGAGCAGGTGTCATTGCAAGGTCTCTCAATTCTTTTTCAACAGCTGGAAATGTACAGAGGTCTCTTTAGACTACAAACTGGCAAACATTGTCACACTTTTCAAGAACGGCAAGAAGGAAGACCTTGTCTCACTTCGGCGCCTGGCAAATTTATGGAGATTACTCTGGTAGCCATTGAAAAACATCTGAAAAGACAGTGCTGTCATTGGTCACAGCCAGTGGGTTCAGGAGGGGAAAGTTCTGTTTAATGAATTTAATATCCTTTTATGACAAGGTCACCCACATAGTTGACCAAGGGAAGTCAGTTGATGTAATATTTTTGTATTTCAGCAAGGTTTTCAATACTGTTTTCCAAAGTATCCTCCTAGACAAAATGCTCAGTCTGCAGCTAGACAAATACTTCAAATGATGGGTGAAGAATTACCTGATGGGTTGGGCTCAAAGAGCTGCACTACATGAGGTAGCATCGGGCTGGAGGGCAGTCACTAGTGTGGTTCCCTAAAGGCTTGATCTTAGGGCCAGTTCTCCAATGTTTTCGTAAATGACTTGGTTGCAGGACTTCAAGGCATATTAAGTTTGTGGGCAACGCTAATTTGGGAGGAGGTGTTAACTCCCTCAAGAGTAGAGAAGCCTTGCAGAGAGATCTTGACAAGTTACAGAGCTGAGCAATCACCAACCGTGAGTGGTTTCACAAGACCGGTGCTGGATTCTGCACCTGGGAGAGGGGCAACACTGAGTATCTGTATAGAATGGAGGATGAAAGGCTGCAGAGCAGCCAAGCAGAAAGGGGCCTTGGGGTTCTGGTTGAGCAAGTAAGACATGAGCCAGCAGTGTGCCCTGGCAGCCCAAAGGGCCAACTGTACCCTGGGGTGCATCAGGCCCAGCACTGCCAGCAGGTGAGGGGAGGGGTTGTACTGCTCTGCTCTGTGCTGTGCGGCCTCACCTCCAGCACTGCGTGCAGCTTTGGGGCCGCGATGTAAGAAGGACATAAAGCTATTAGAGAGCACCCAAAGGAGGGCAACAAAGAAGGGTCTGGAGGACAAGTTGCATGAGGAGGTCCTTGGGCGTGCTCAGGAGCTGAGGGGAGGCCTGATGGCGGCTGCAGCTCCTCACAGGGAGCAGAGAGGCAGCGCTGAGCTCTGCTCTGTGTGACAGGGCCCAAGGGAACGGCATGGAGCTGTCAGGGGGCAGCTGGGGGTTGGGGAAAGGGGCTGCACCAGAGTGTGATAGGCATGGAATGGGCTGCACAGGGCAGTGGGCACAGCCCCAAGTGCTGGGGTTCATGGAAGAATTTGGATGCCATTCTCAGATACAGGGTTTGGATTTTAGGCGGACCTGTGTGAAGCCTGAAGCTGGAATCAGTGATCCTTGTGGTCTCTTCCAGCTCAGGATATTCTGTGATTCTGATTTTAGAAGAGGGGACTGTAAGTGACATGCCACCAGCTGGATGAGTGCTGCGTGCGACAGGAATCCAGAGGGTTGGAATAAGCTCAGTGTGTAGGAGGCTCTGAGGCTTGTCTTGCCTGCCACAGAATGTCCCAAAGGCTGCAGCTTCTCTCCATTTCTCTCCCCACCATGCACTTGTGGTCACCATCACGTGTGCATTCATCTCGTGCTCTGTGAGTCCCTTTCCAGTAACTGTTTCCGTAACATCATGCCCTGACTCTCCTTAGTACCTGATTAGACTGTGCTGCTCCCAGCTCCCCAGATTACATACTTATTTCCACCTTACCCAGGCTTTTGCTCTTATTCCTGTGGCACTGAAGTGACTTTTACTTTCTCACACTCCTGGCAATATTGTAAGGAGATAAGAGCCAGCATATTCCCATTGACTGCCATTGCCTGGCAACGGAGTTACAATGTCCTCTGCAATTCCAACGTCACTGCTGATCAGTGGTGAGACATTTTAATATTAACCTGCACAGAATATGACCGTTTTGTCCTGCGCTGAACCCATCTGAGAATCAGCTGCAGTGATGCACACAGCAAACACAGTGCATGCAATGCTATTCCCAAAGCAACCGACAGACTACATCTGTAAATACCCTCTTTATTATTTTTTTTTTAGAAAGCAGCATCAATGCATGATTTGCAGGTATAAACTTTATAATACAAACATCAATCTTAAAATACAATAAAATTTACATCAACGTGGAAAAAGCTGCGAGATAATACCTTACAAATTCATTGTCTTAGTGGTAATTCCATCGTGTTTTGGGGAGGTGGGGGGGAAAATCACCCTGAATGAAACATACAAACTCATTTTTAAAACTGGCTTTGGATCTTAGAAAAGTACACTTAAACATAAGCGTTCTTGTCAAAGTGCTTTGGTGAGGTTTGGTCTGGGACACTGTTGTGAATCTTTGTACGAGATGACATCACAGATGCAGCTCCATTATATGCATATGCTCTCCTGCAAAGAGAAGAGAATTGGCCATTTACAGTCATCTCACAGCCTGGTAACATCTCTTACCCAAGCACTGTAGTGCTATAAAGCTAAAATAAAGCTATGGCAATGTGAAGCTCCTCCTGCTGGAGACAGGGGACACCTCCCTCCCCTGTGTGCTCTCAGTTTCCCCTCCTGTGTTTCCCTGTAATTCCCCTTGATATAGGCTGATATTCCTCAGTCACAGCCAAGTAAACTGGTGCCAGATCAGATGAAATACTGAGGCTGTAGCAGACATTAGGTGAGCAGTAACTCCTCCAGCTGTGCCTCTTTACTGCCACCCCTTTTCTCCCAGCTCGTTCCCTTTTTATCTGATGATTTGGGATTAAAGAAACTTGTCAATTCATGTAAGGGCCCCTGAACACTCCTCCTCCATCTGTGCACGGATTTTTTTCGGCTGTAGCAAATGTATCAAGTATTTATAACGTCAGTATTTGTACTGAGAAAGTGGCTCTTCTTAATTACATTAATTGCATGAGTGATGGAAAGGAAATTATCCTAGAATCCCATTATTTTCTTTCAAGCACACAATCCTTTTCTGACCTCACAGCGAAGTGTTTCTGATAAGTAATCAAACTGCATACATACAGCAGGTACAAAGGTGCTATATTGATTTATTTTAGTAAGTGCAACTTGGGTTTTACCTTGGAGATTTACTGTTCTCAGCTATTGAGAAGCAGAATATACTGCCACCAATGATGCAGAGTGAAGCTCCAGCCCATCCAATGAATAAAGCTGCTCCTAATTCATACCTACAGGAGTTAATAAATGCGTTTAACAAAGAATTAATTTAACATTCTTTTTCAGAGTAGAAAAACTGATTTATTTTTTTCTTCATATATATTTTTTCCGTTGACAGACATTCTTTGTGCAAAGTCAGCAGCTGTGATGCTCAGCTAGATTCTTTCCATTATTTCCCCCATGCACATGAGGCAGATCTGTCCCATGGCATACTGCTGCAGCCAGCTGGGTCGCCTCACCTCCCAGCTCTCTCCAAGACTAATAGCTGAGGAGCTCTGATTCTTTGGCCCCTTTTTATACTCCCATCTCCTTGAAACAATGCAGGTTTGTTCCCACTGTCTCCCAGTCCTGACTGCAGCTCCCAGTGAGTCTGAGGCTGTTCAGCCCCTACTGCCTACAGCTCTGATTAACACTCCCCTCCGTCTCTCCACATTTCTCCCTCTCCATATCCATGCTCTGGACTGAGCATACATGATGTTTGTATACATACATATCATAGGCAGGTGCAATCATGGATTCCTACAATCACTGAGGTTGAAAAAGACTTCTAACGTCATCCAGTCTGACCATCAGCACATCCCCACCGTGCCTCAGTGCGACATCCACACAGCTCTTGAACATCTCCAGGGGCAGTGACTCCACTACTACATAAAGTTTTAATTCAAATTATTCCACCCCTGTGCTACAGTTTTCAGACGACTGAGCAGATTTCTGTCTGTTCAAGGTCTGGGAGTTCTCTGATTGAAAGTAGATATCTGCATCAGAGTTCATCATCCAGGATCTCATTACAGTCAGCACGCAAGAAATACGCACTCGACTCCAAAGTACGCCTGCTGAATCACAGCCTCGAGTGCCTTTTTCAGTGTGCTCCAAGAGAGGCGGATCAAAGCGATGAGCACAGATGGGAAGTGGCACAGTGTGAGCCCCATGTGAGGATGCCTTCATGCACAGTGTGGTGCATGGTGTGCAGCTGGGCACCCCCCAGAAGCCAGTGCAGAGGACACAGTTGGACCCAGACCCAGGAAGGCTGCTGTTGTAACAACTCCACAGACCATTTGCTAAAACATGGGAAACACTACTTCATTTTCAGCATAAACTATTGGCCTGAGGCTCATGTGAGTCATACAAGGTAACCAACTGCCCCCTTCCCTCTTGCAGCTCCTCAGTTGGACAGAGATCAAGATTAACTTGGGTTTAATTGGGTAGAAAAAGGTGTCTGCCCTTTTCGTAACAGTTGGGAAGTGAAGGCATGGAACCCAGCCTTTGGTCTTGGGACTGTTTGTACTTTCTAAGCAACATTTATTATAACATGCATAAACAGTTGGCATGTATAGACCGTTCCTGGGTGATGGCGATATGCCATGTTAATGAGTGGCAGAGCTGGCCTAATTGGTCCTTCCTTCACATCTTCACACAGATAAAAGACTTTTTGATATACACTGGTGCTTACAAGGAATTTTCAATTGCATATCAACCTGTGTATGGCTCCCTGGATTTTATCCAATCCAGTTTTCCAGGCTTTTTTTAGTAGCCGAGAAGTCAATCCTACCCCACCTTCCAAAATCCAATACAGATTGGATTAAAGTACATCCTGTACTTTGATGCCTCTTGAAAAAAAATACTAATAAGAGGAGAAGAAATTTCTCTATTCCTTATTTTTTCCTTCTCTCTTTATCATTAAAACCCTTAAAGGAAGTCTTCTGTTCTTATGGTTCCTGCCTGTAAGACTCAAAATAGCCATACTCCAAAGTCTGTGGTCTCACACAGCCCCCACCTACTACAACTACCTCCAGCTACACTCACCCAGCAAGTTGGGAGCAGATATTTTACTATAATCCAAAGAGGCAGAATTCAATGAGACAAAAGTAAGTATTAATATCAGTAAAGAAAACATCCTGGTTATTAGATATGTTGGGACCATGAAGAAAATCAGTTATAGCTTCATTAGCCAACTGGGTAAACTCTGGGACATATGTACAGAACAAACCTAACCACCCAGCAAATCAACACAACTATCCAATGGAAATATATATTTTACATGTCTAGTTCTTAGAATTTATGGAAAATGATAACCAGGTTCGGAGCAATGTGACAGCAGGACAGTGCCAAGGGGGCCTGTGTGAACTCCGCTTCACCAATACAGAGAAAAGAAGATCAAGGGGAAATTATTCTCTCCAAAAAAGGGAAGTCAGTCAGCTTGTTTGGATAAACTCACCCTATTCATCTGGAAGAACGATGATGATCATGAATTCAAATTGTGGCAAGGGACAGAAAGGATGAAGGCTAGCAAAGCTTTTATTGGAAGTTGTAAAGTGACAAAGCAGTCTCTGAAGATAAGCTCTGGAAGTAACATAAGCAAGGCAGTGCATCAGAGAGATGCACAGATGCTTTTTTCTACTAGACATGTCTGAAGACAAATGAAATGCAGCACCAAGGTGTCCTGCGCTGTCATCAAGTCTCTGTGTTACTGTGTGTGGTCAAACAACACTTCTGGAGCAGTGTTACATCTGTAATGCAAACTATTGTGTTGGAACATAAAACACCGTGTAAGATATCTTTCTATGTAAGTCTAACTTCAGGGTATCCTAGAGTGACCATTATTTCTCAGCTATACACAAATTCAAACCAGAAGTGTCTTTGCGGAGCTCTCTGATTCCTCCTGCACATGAGCACATTCAGGGCACATGTGTGCCATCCAAAGACAGCTAAAAGGATGCTAAACATCCCATGTCATTCATTTTCCAGTAACAGTAGCTCGAGCCTCTCTTGGACACCACCAGAATAACTACAGATGAAAATGTGCAGCAAGCGGTGAACAGCTGAAACCAAGGCGGCAACCTCTCTCAATGAAGATGAAAGCCAAACTCCTACAGTATGCTAGCAAGGCATATCCAATGCTTCTGCAAGGTACATCAAAGTAAGAGTTCCCAGAAGGCAGCAAAATAAATTGCTCCTATATATTTTATATTGATTTAGAGAGAAAGAAGTCAAATGCTACCTTTATCTTAATCTGACATAAGATCACTGCATGAGCTACACCGCATGCACACCATGTGCAAGTCCAATTACAATTTCCCTCTCCATTGTTTTCTTTGTAGTTGCAATTATGTGTGCTGGCAGTTGTGCTATGCCATTTCTTCCAGGAAAAAATGTAATTTCTGCAAAAGATAATTTATGACCTTTATTTTCTCATTTGTTCACAGTAAAACTCTGTCATGAGGTCTGCCTGTTTTTTTCCCAAGCAAACTGTACAGGAACACAACGAAGGAAAGGGAATTCTGGCAACAGCCAAAGTATTTTTCACAGAAAACAGTAAGCCTGATGAATAATTAACTTGTGGCTGCATAGCCAGACTCCATTTTCTTCACAGTAGCTCACATCCTTGTAGCTTTTGGTGGCCTTTGGATCCTGTCCTTAACGTATCAAACAAGCTGAAACTATAGCAGAATTATGGAGGAAAGTATTATGAAATGTTTTCAAGAGAAGAGAAGCAGTGTCAGCCCTGCTGCAAATGTGATTCCAACTAAAGGTATTTAGTCAATTAAACTGCCTACTTTCCATCAAAAAGTAAGGGAGAGGCTCAGGATACATTACTTGGATCTCAAGGAAATTTAAATCCAGTGATTGACATATTCTGGAGTCAACATAAAGAAAGTTTTGAAAATCTTCTCTTTAAGGATAAGTTTACATTACGTAAGAAGCCACAGTGTGAAAGCCTATGATGCTCTAATTTATAGCCAATGTTTTCAAACTTGGTGGATAAAACATGCTTCCAAAATTCAAACATTGGTTCATGAATGAATTGCTGCCTTTGAAAGTTCTAAGCTCTAAGGAGAGTCTTTATGGATGACTATTTCTGGGAAGGATCGCGCTGTTCAATAAACACAAGTTCTTTCTTTATATTCAATTACATAAAGAATATTCAAAGTGTTGACATTAGTCTTGTATGATCGTGGGTTTTGAAAAGGTTTATGATTCAGCCTGGAGAAAAGAAGGCCCCTGAGAGGCCTCCCTGCAGCCTTTCAGTACCTAAAGGGAGCTTATAAACAGGAGGGTGTCTGACTCTTTTACTCAGGTAGATAGCGATAGGACAAGGGGGAGTGGTTTTAAATTAAAAAAAGGGGAGATCTAGATCAGATATCAGGAGGAAATTCTTCACTCAGAGGGTGATGAGGCACTGGCACATCTGCCCAGAGAATCTGTGGATGCCCCATCCTGGAGGTGCTCAAGGACAGGTTGGATGGGGCCTGGGCAGACTGAGCTGGTGGGCGGCAGCCCTGTCCACAGCAGGAGGTTGGAACAGGATAGGCTTTAAAGTCCCTTCCAACCCAAACCACTCTGTGATTTTATGATCCAAATTTTAGCCATCTGGATTTGAAAATATGTCAGAAAAAAAAAAATCCCTTCAAATGGAATTAAGATCATGCAGTCCTCAACACTGTTATGGAAACTATCTTCTATCAAAAGCGTAGATAAATATTTTCGTCCTTTCCTATGGAATTATGCACTTAATGAGTGCCTCAGTCTTGTGAAATGCCTTTTTTGCATCTTTGACGTAAACCTAAGCTTATTCCAATTAGCACAATAGGCTCTGGGACAAGTGCTGTGGAGCCCCACCAAGCTGTGATAAGCCCGGGCACAAAGACTACAGGCCCATCATTCTACAGAGAGGTGTTAGCTCATTACATTTCTGCACAGTTACTACAGTTGGAAAATATGATCAAACAAACTGCATCCCACTTTTCCTTTCTGCCCAATAGGAGAAACATTTGCTTTCTGTATAAATGGGTTCTGGCGTGCAGAACAAAACTTCAGGTATACTTTTTTAAAAGATTTATGGGTATAGGAAAGTACTTACTTTTGTGCAACAAAAGAAGGATCAAAGAACTCAGACGTAATCCTGTGTGCATACAGGGAACAACCAGTCATGGAGCACAGCCCTGAAAAGCATAAGATAAACCATTCAGTGGAACGGGCAGAGAAGCTTTGGGCCTGACCCTGAAGCCAATGAAGTGACGTAGAACTGTGTGTGCAAAGCTCTGGTATGACTCCAAAGACACAAACTTAGAGAAGTAAGGTATATTTACCACACAGTATGAAAATCAGTCCAGCTAAACAAGCTATTCTTGCTTTATTTTTATCAGAGCCGCCGATTTTTGTGCACTTCATCCCAACCAGTCCAAAAATGGAACCAAAGAAACCCAGACAGACAGCGGAGATCATCAGTCCTCTGCAGGCTTGGATGTAACCTGCAATGAGAAGGGGTAAGACTCATGTGAGGGCATGGACCACACCGGCTTTCACTACAGCTTCCCTCACCGCACACAGCAACAGGCATTAATTAGTTATTCCAAACACAATCAAACCTTGGCTGGAGTAATGCCATCTGATTACTGTGCATGTTCTTCTAGGTGATGGCATAATGTTCTCCACTGGGCATCGCCATGTGAGCCCAGCACATAAGAAACATACTATAGCAATCAGAGCTGGAAGAAATAATCCTGTGGCAATGAGCACAGCATCTGCAAGAGGCTGGACCGCTGGGTTTTGAAGAGCACAGTGCCTGTCACGGGTTGCAGAGCTTCTCAGAGCACATGAAGTCTTGTATGTGCATGTGCCATAGATGAAATAGCTGGTGAGCCTGGCTGGATGTGCCACTCTGATCTCATTTGGATCAGCCAAGAAGATCTTTGTTATGCAAGGAGTCCAAATACATTCTCAGCCTACGGACAGCAGTGATCCTTCAGATAAAGCAAACTACTGGACATGTGCCTTGCCACTGCATTCAGCTGTGTTGCCGTGCCAGCTAAGGCTGCTCCAAACCAAACCGCCCAGCAGCTGGACTTTCCCACAGGACAAGAGATTGCCTGTCCTCTTCTTCTTTCACAGTTAAACACTGTGATAATCACACCATACTGTCCACTGCATGGAATGCCACAGTCTTACACAGTTCAATAACTGTCACAAGATGTTTTTCTCCATAACCTACTACATCTCATTTAAAATGGAAATGCGCTGCCATTATCTGTGCATTCATTCTTTTCTCTTTGATCTCCAGTGGGTGGAAATCTTGAGAGCCAAGCCTAGTTTTCATTGCTATTACACCTACTTTTACAGAATAACAAACAAACCAAAAAAGCCCTGCATAAAAGCCCTTAATATGTAGAAAATTAATTTATTGGAACAGGAACTAGGGAACATTTAATGAAAACAGATGGCCGTAGATTCAAACCAAAAGGTGTTCATACAATGAAGCTGTGGGACACTTTTCCATGGGCTATCTGGATGCTAGAAGTGTACACAGGTGCAAAAAGAGATGGGATAAATTCAGTTAGAAGAAATCTGTGTCTGGCTGGCAGGTCCCTGAACAGCAAAAGGCCATCACAGGTGCTTGGCCTTCTTCTGTACTCATTAGTGGCATTCACTTTGGTTGCTGTTAGAGGAATATCAGCTTCAGGATGACCACTCCATGCTTGAACAATGTTTAAAGAAACTCATTGATTCACAACTTTGCATAAGACACAGCACATAAGATGCCCCATCTCTGGAAGCATTCAAGGCCAAGTTAGATGAGGCCCTGGGCAGTCTGATCTGGGAACTCTGCCCATGGCAAGGGGTTGGAATGAGATGATCTTTGAGGTCCCTTCCAACTCAAGCCATTCTCTGATTCTCTAACACAGCATTTTGTAGGATATAATGTCGTATTTTATCAGTACTACAGAATTCAGGTGCTCACTGCATGTCTTGGAACAAAACCCAATGGCATTTGTCTGCATCCATCTGCATGCCTATAACATGATTCTGTAACCCATCTGCTAAATACAATTTCATAACCGTAACTGTCACAGGACTCTCATGTTGGAATTTGAGAGCCATTTATGCCTGCTCAGGTGTCTAACACGGTCATTGAAAATAAAGTCTGAATTACAAGGTACACTCCTACAGTAGCTGGATGAGCTGCCCATTGGAGAAACCTTTATTACACCACTGATAATAAATGAAACATAGGCTAACCAGCTCAGAGTTGACTTCTAATTTTTAGATATCTACAATCACGTGTAATAGCCCTTATCTTCTATATGCAATTATACCTAACAATTTGTATTTTTAGAAAAAACAAATGATACAAGACATTGAAGAAATATTTCATTCTTACAGAAACACACTTCAAAATATTCTTCCTTAATGAGGTATCACTTCAGTATTATTACCACGTTCAAGCTTTGAGCTGAAAAATTATCTTGCTGTTTGCATACAAATCAATTTTTTCCTTTTTGTTTCTGGATTTCTGTTGTGCTGAGTGTATCTATTAGAATCATAGGATCATAGAATCACCACGATTGGAAAAGACCTCTACGATCATCTGGCCCAACTGTCCACCCACCATCAATATTTCCCCACTAAACTGTGTCCATTAGTATCACATCTAAACGCTTCTTGAACACCTCCAGAGACAGTGATTCAACCACCTCCCTGGGCAGCCCATTCCAGATTAGCACACTGACGCAGAATAATTTGATAAGGCTTATATTTTCCTTTAGTAATAGTGAGATAGCCTAAGTTATAAGGCTTCAAGCAGAAATGTTTAATGGCACGTTGCTGTACCTCAAAGCCTTTTGAATACAAATGAAGAGTAGTACTTCCCAGTGTTGTAGCAGAAAGAAAACAGGTAGCTCTTCCTCTGCTCTCCTGAAAGCTTAGGCAACTGCTGCTGCTTCTGAACTTCTCCTTCTTCACTCAGCACTGAAGAGCCTCCAGCCCTGAGTCAGGAATCATAACAAGTGTCTCTCTGAGTAGGTCCCTCCTGTATCCCTAAACCCATAATCAAAAATCTCATACATCATCCTATGGCATTCAAAGGAGATGCTTTCACCCGAAACACCACTGAATGGCAAAGAGAAGCATCACAACGTCCTGCAGTACAGGGACAAGATTTGAGACAAATCCAGCTGAAGAACTACAGACTGAAGGTTTACAAAGCCAAACCTAAAGATTACCATCTGCCTTGAGCACCTCTCACAGGTCCTGTGTAAGACCTGTGAGAAATTTTACTTTCTCATTGGGATCTGCAAGAAAATAAAAAGGAGAGCGCACCTTTTGATGTTCACTGGACTGTACAACCAGCTTATAAAACTTGGCATTTCTAAGGCATAATTCATCTTATCCTAACAGAGCTATCTACAATAGATCATATTAATTGCACCTAATTTTTTTCTGCAGGCTTTGTAAAGTGAGCCTAAGGGTGACTCAGAGCTATTTGGTGGTTATCTAATACTAGGTGAGATGACCACCACTGCTAAGGGAACTGCTTCCTCAACAGTGAATTAAAATTGTACTCCCAAACAGCTCGCTTCAAATTCCAGCAATAATTAAAACTTTTGCTTCTGTGTCAAGTTCTGTAACTTTACTCCTTTGTTTTTAAACCCCTCAGGCAAAACCCAAAAGATGTCAGTAGGAAAAGGGTGTTGGTAAGACTTCAAAATGTGGCTCTTTCAGTTTATAAAGGCACGAGTCTGAAGACGGTGCTCTCGCTTTGTTAATTTTTGCTACAGTAGGCATGGAGAAATTTGTTTTTATTTCTTTTCCATACAACGTATTTCTCATTGCACCCAGGTGAAGCAGGAGATGCAAACGGGTGAGGCAGCTATTATTTTTGACAGGTCCAATTTATTGACACCGTTAGTAGTTAATTGACACATTAAGGTGCTGAACCATGAACACATCCACCCAGAGGTCCTCTAAACCTTTATTTATGCCTGAGCCTCCGAGCAGAAGCAATAAATATTCACCCCAACCAAAATAACTAGCATATGCTAGGAACAACATGGCTGAAATTCAATTGTTACTGAAGGTCAATACACAGCTTTAAAATAGGTAGAGGTGGTGAGACAGCAAGAAATGATTAACCCACCCAACAGAAATCATTTTCAACTATAACTGCACGAGCTGGAGCACGGCTCAGCTCTGCTGAATGAATAACCTTCCTCACTAAATATTTCACCAATTCTGCAGGCCAAGCGAAGTGGGACTTGTTTCAGCTCACCAACAATTATCCAACTGCCACTTTTAAAACAAAATAACTGAAACGGTCATAATCTACACCAAAAACATGGAAGAGCAGAAGGCTTTGTTGGTTCTACCAAGCTGACTGTGGCAACAGGACACGTAAAAGGGTGAAGCCAATCTCAGTATCAAACTCAGCCCAACTACTCGGACCTAGGATAAAACAGACCACTTACAGCTGTGAATGTAACTGTACCTTCTCTTTGCTTCCTAGAAAGCAAGAACCAAGGGTCATCATGCAGAGAGTGGGAATCTTCTACTACCAAAGACTGTCTCCTTCCCAAAAAATGTGTTATGCATACTTTCATCAGCATCTACAAGAAGCTGGTACCTTGTCATGTACGCACTGACCACCCAAACAAAGCTCTGAAGCAAGGAAAAGCCATATGTTTGAAACAGACAAGTAGACAAACATGTATTACTCATAAAGTCATGTTTAGCAGCATTCCAAGAGAAACCTATTTCAAGTATTTTTTTTCAAACAAATGTGTTTTGTCTTGCATTCAAATTAATCTTGTTGGGCTATCATCTTTCTTGCCTCGCCACTCTCATGCTTGCCTCTCATGCTCTCAAAGAGCTATGAGGAATTCACACATTCATACTGTATGATTCTCACAAAAATATTTGCATACTGTTATGGGGGTTCCATTTTCACAATGAATACCTGCAGTGGCATCTTGCAGTCTGCATCGTGTGAAGTAGCAGCAGTTACCTTACAGATACAGCTCAGGTTCCTTCTAAAAGTACACACCCATTGCCTTTGTATGTTTTTCTAAGCTCCAATACCTTCTTTTATATCATAAGTAAATTTTTGTTCAGCTGTGTTCTTTCTAAAGGTCATTGGATACGCTGCTGAAAACACGGTAACGGATACAGCATTACGAGGTGGTTTCACCACCAAGTTTCTGTCTACAACTAGCAAAAGCAAACCCAAAATGAAGTCCTGCAAGAATACTTATGCTCACATACAAAACATGGGGTCTGTATTAAGGGGCCAGCCCTTAATGATGGTTGGCCAGGTTTATTACACAGGAATGCATGAAGGTGGAAAGGAACACACGTAATTTTCTCCAGTGGCCACTGGTGCCGTGTGACGGCTCCAGAGCCATGAGTGCTGCCCTACTGCCATGTCACTGCCAGGAATCTGCACTCCATGATGCACGTCAGAAAATGGGAACAGGGAGTGACCCCCTGGCTACTCCTGACCCAAGCTACAACACTTTCTGAAGAAGGGAGGCCTTTTCCTGCACTCCATGGGAGTGTCCAAGCATCTCTCCAGTCCTGCCCCACCACTTCAAGGAATGGAGCATGCTCTATAGGGTTTGTTGCTTCTGCTCACCAAGAACTGCTCTCTTGGGACAGAATGGGCACCAGATCTGTCCTTCTTTGCTTCCCCTGGATCCACCATCTGAGGTTGAGCTGCCACGCTGCAACGCCAGGGAAGGGTGAGGGTGAGAAGGTACACAGGTTCACAGCAGGGTCCGTTGCTGTGAGGAGCAGAGCTGGGGCCAGGCTATAGCCAGGCTGCAGCAACACCCTCAGCTGGCCTGCCCTGTGCTGGGGGTCACACTGCTGTATGTGCAGCCCACATCTCCTTTACTGTGCCTGGACACCAGCATCTGGCCTCACTTGGAGACATGGATCAGGGACACCGAAGCCAAGCTATCAAACAGCCTCTGTCAGGATGGAATGAGCCCTGTCCAGATGTGGATTCAGATGCTCTACCAGATGCTCGCCTGCACAGCAACTCCCTCAGACACTCATTTCTCAGAGAAGTGGGATGTGTCACCCAGAACACAATGTTTTCTAGGTCTGAGTTGGGCTTGTGGGGAGTAAAAGGGGCTTTGCTGTTTCTTTTTTTCTTTTTTTCTTGTTTGGGGTGGGCGGGAGGTGAAGATTTTAAACATTCCCAATGCCACGTACTTTGTTTGCAACTTTGCCTCTCTCATTCTAAAACCAGATCCACCCACTGCTAACCAAGCAGCTGAACAATGGATCCCGTGGATCCAACGCTCAGCGGTGATCCTGCAGTGCTCCCTAACAGAGCACAGCTCCTCACCAAAGCCTGGAAACTACTGGTTCCTACACCAAGCCCCTGAGTGGGGCCGTTGTCCCACTCCGCTGTGGGACCAGCAAAGCCCTCTGCCACCACGGGGCTGGGGCAAAGGGCCAATATTCCTCCATCCACAGGCAGCATCCAAAGCACAGATGCCTGAAGGCTGCCTGCACCCTGACCTCCTGCACGTCCTGAGGGTGGATTCAAGGTTTTCTGATACTGGGACTCATTTGCTTAATGGCAGCATTAATCCCTGCTGTAACAGCATCGATGTCCCACTAGCAGACGTTTCCTCAACGAACTTTCTTTCCCAAGAAGTGGACCAGTCCCAGACCCTGTGCAGGGAGTGCCCTGAGGCAGAACCGGCGTTTGTTGGTTGTTTTTTTTGTTTGTTTGGTTGGTTTTTTTTGGAATGTCAAAGCCACGGGCAGGCTATATAGTTTATTCCTTTATGACGGTCGAAACTTGGAAAAGGTGCCATTATATTGAAAACCTCTCCTCCCTTTATTGACAGCCACTCCTGAGGCTATAAACCAGGGCCGGCCGCACTTTCACTCTTTCTCCCGAAGCTATCATATTAACTGGAGGTAAGTTGCTCGCTGTGCGGGCTGCAGCGTTCGGTTCCCCGCAGCGATCGGGCATATCCCCCCCAGCGGGCAGGGAGCGCAGCACCCACCCGCCTCATCCCCCGGCTCTGCAGCTCCGAGCTCTGCTCCGGGAGAGCCCAGCGCCGCCGTCCGCCCACCGAGCGGCCACATCCCAGTTAAGAAGCACCGAGCGAAGCAGCGCAACACACCGCTACAACCCCGTGCCCGCATCACCCCAAGCGCTGCGCCCCGACGCGGTCCCGGGACGCGCCCCGCTCGCCCCAACGCGCGATCGCGGCGCAGGCACGGACTGCGGTGCCGGGGCCGGGGGAGCCGGGACGGGAGGCGGCGGGGTCTGACCGTCGAGAGCCAGCATGGACGGGAAATCCTTGCAGTTGGAAACGCCGGTGGAGTCGGTCACGCAGGTCTTCCAGAGGTTGGCCCAAAAGGTGGCGGTGGTGATGACCGTGCCGTCTATGGAAGACACCTTCCAGTAGTCGGTGGGCAGCGTGGAGGACACCAGCACCCAGCCGGAGATGGTCAGCAGGAAGGCGACGATCTCCGCCGACGTGCTCGCCATCGGGCCCGGCGGCAGCAGCGGGCGGCGAGCGAGCGGCGCGGGGCCGCGGAGCGGAGGGTGGGGCGGGGCCTGCGGGGCGGCGACCAATCGGCGCCGGCTGCGCCGAGAAGCCACGCCCCCTCCCTCGCCCCACCCCGCCCCGCCCAACTCCCCTCTGCCCGCGGCGAGCAGCGGGGGTCCGCGCGTCCCCGCGCCCCGCGCTTGGCTGCCCTTTGTGCCGGCCCTGCGCCGTGCCGGCCCTGCGGAACGCCCCTCGCTGACAGGAGGAAGGGGTTCTCAGCCCTCTGCCACCCGCGCACAGGTGGCAGCGCTCCTCGGGCTCGGCCTCGTGTTGCAATGCCAGCGGTGAGCCGGGGCTGTACCGAACCCTGCCGCAGCCCGCGGGGCGAAGCCATCCGCCCGGCCCTCCTCTGGTCAGGAGCTGTTTACTTTCCACATCAGTAGTGTATTTGCTATTGATGTGGAAAGTACACTGCCGGTCTTTACTTTCCGCCTGTTTGTTTCAAAACTATTGTTACATTTTCTGAAGCTTTTTGCCAGACGGGCAATCACTGGAGGATAAGAAGCCACATTTACATCATTCTACGGTGATGAATGCTGTTTGATTTTGCCATGTGGAAACAAACCTGGATATAATTGCCTTATTGCTATATAGCCATTCACGACGGGGGGGGGGGGGGGGGGAAAAAAAAAAGAGAAAAGAAAGGAGAAACCCAGCGAGGGCTGGGCGTACCTTTGGGCACCCGTCAGGGCCCAGTGGCAGCAGGCTGCTGGCAGCCTGTTCATAGAATCATTGAGGTTGGAAAAGATCTCTAAGGTCATCCAGTCCGCCTGTCGGCCCATCCTCAGCGTCCCACTGACCACATCCCTCAGTGCCACATCCTCACGGTTCCTGAACACCTCCATGGACTGTGGCTCCACCACTGCTCCTCCCTGGGCAGCCCATTTCAGTGCATCACCACTCCTTTGGAGACGATTTTTTTCCTAATATCCAACATGAGCCTCCCCTGGCACAACTGGAGGCTGTTTCCTCTTGTCCTGGCAGTTCCCTCTGGGGGAAGAGGCTGACCCTCACTTCACCACAACCTCCCTTCAGATCACTGTAGAGAGCAGTGAGGTCTCCCCTGACCTCCTCTTCTCCAGACTAATCAATCCCAGTCCCCTCAGTTGCTCCTCGTAAGATTTGTGCTCCAGTCTCCTCACAACTTCATTGCCCTTCTCTGGACATGCTCCAGGGCCTCAATGTCCTTCTTGTAGTGAGGGGCCCAAAACTGAACTGTTGGTGCTCAGCAGGCTGAGCTGGGCTCTGCAGGACACTGCTGTGGTGTCAGCTGTGCCCAGCACTCAGAAAAAAAGTGCTTCTGGGTTAAGGAAGAGGGGTATGGCCCTAGACCAAAGTCTCATCTATGTGTCAGCATGATTTATTTGTTGGAGGGCAGGGCAGCAGACACATTTAAAAGTTGTTTATTTTATTTCCCCCTCATAGCACTTTGAAGTCTTGGTGATGGGAAGAAAGTCACAGATTTGATCCCAGATCTGGGTAATTGCATGCTCCTGGTGCGAGAAACTCGCCTGTACATTTGTTGGTATCATGTGTTGGATACAAGGTCTGCTGCCTGGGCAGCTTTTGGCCAAGGCCCAGTCAAGACTTCCAGTATGCTGCAAGGTTAAAAGCAGAAGGGCGGAGTGAGCATGCTTACTAGTACCTCTAGGGCCAAATCTGAGCCCTGGGAGGAAGAGAAGGAGGAAGAGGATCTTTCCATCAAGCATAGGGAACAGATTTCCTGCTGTGACCTTCAGCAATCACTTCTGCTGCCCCAGGCCCTCTACTTTGGACAGAGCTGGGCTTTGGCTGTGACGTACAGTACAAAGCCATGTCTCCTGGACCAGTATCCATCTACCTCCACTGACCACAGAGGAAGCCTGGACAGGTGGCATTAATTCCACCTTCAACCTACTCACTGCTTGTGACCGAAGACCCACCAAGCAGGCCTAATTTGTAAGCCCATTTGCCTATACCCTTTTTTTATCCAGAGAAGTATACAGTGTCCATGGTGTACATGAGAACCAGGCTCAGTTTAGCTCCAGAGAAAGCCTCCTGTTCTCTTCTAGCCTGACACTGCTGCTCCTGAAATAACTCTGGAGATGTTTGTGTCACTTGTCTGGTCATTACTGTCTTTCTCACCCAAAATCAGAGCCAAATATTAGGCTTCTAATCTCATCTCTGGTGGTGCAAACCCAAAAAGACATCATGCGCAACTGAGTGTTTACTCAGATGAAGGCTAGCAGAAGCTGCCATAGATGCTCTTCCCCCATGGCATGTTCTTTGCACTGGCAAGTATCTGCAGGGATTAGTTGTTGGAAAACACTCATCTGTGAGGTTGTGTTTGTCCCCATGTTACATCAGCTTCTCTCTCCTGTGCAACAGCAAGGTCTTCAGTCATGATCTTAACTCCAGGGTCTTCAACTTCAGGAAATCATGGCCTCTTTTCTCCCAGCTGCTGTTCTAGGAACATGATGGGCACATAAATACAGCCTGTATTTCCCCTCAGGCTATACCTCTGTCTTCTTGCCACCATCGTTCACACTGTCTTAGTCACAGAATCACAGAATGGCCAGGGTTGGAAGGGACCTCAAGGATCACGAATCTCCAACTAACATGCCACAGGCAGGGCCACCAACCTCCACATTTAATACTGGACCAGGCTGCCCAGGGCCCCATCCAACCTGGCCCTGAACACCTCCAGGGATGGGACATCCACAGCCTCTCTGGGCAGCCTGTTCAGCACCTCACCACTCTCATAGTAAAGAACTTTACGTTACCTTTAAGTTGTGTAGTAGAGTGAAAGACATAGTCATTGCTCAGTTTCTTCTTACCATGTTTTGGGACCAGCTATGACTCAGGGATATTTTTAAATTCCCCAGGCCACTGTGTGGCAGATTTGTGCTCATTTCTGTACGCGAATTGAGCAGATCATTGCGTTAATGCAGTTTTATGCTCAGTCATTTGAGCGTTTATTGCCTCAGTCTTGGAAAGAGAGGTGCTTGAAACTTTTTATAAGAAAACTGTCCCTTGGGGTTCATTTGTTTTGCTGCAGGTCTCACTGGTCTGGGACATAAAAACGGCATTTTAAAAGACTGATTAGTAAGCGTTAGTAAGTGTATACTGCACATGTTTTTAAAATCAGAATGGTGTATTCGACAGTTATGTAGTATTCAACAGTTGAATTTTTATAACATATAAAAGCCTATTGTATTACTATGTACAGAAGCGTCCTTCAGGATAGTTTTCTTAACAAGTCTGAAATACAGGATATTATTTTAGCTTTTGCAGGATCAAAATCACAAGCAATCATTATTGCCTCATAAATTAAACACCGAGTGACAACACCATTTGTTCTGTGGCCAGGATAAGCAGACTGGGGTCATCATGCCTTTGTGCCGGAGTAATTTTTCTTGTAATTTTACCATACAGAGGTTGGGCAACTTGGGGCTGTTTCCTGGCTCTGTTGTATTATGAATTTCAGGGTGCCTAGAGCACCTGTTGAAAAGAAAAAACAACAACTTTATTTTTCTAAAGCTGAAGGACGACTTCCTTGTTTGCCAGGGTTTTCCTGAGAAACTGAATGTTGAAGAGGTAAGGCAAACTTGCAGGGAATATTATGACTTGAGCACCAAGCCAAGCTCAGGTGTGCTGCCAGTGGGGAATGCACCTTAACTTGGCATTAGCAGTGGAGGAGGTCAACATGACTACAGATGAGAAGATGTGCAGTCTTCTGTATTGTAGAGCACAAAAGTGCTGCCTAAAATAAGAACAACTAAATCTTCTCCAAATGGAGAGTAGACAAAGCAATATTTCTTGTTTCCCTGTTCTTTATCAACTAAAAAAGCCCATCAGAGTGGGAACATCAGTTAATAATCACCAGTCCTTGCTTATGTTGGGTCACCACCATTGTTTTTGTAAAGCTATCAGAAATTAAATTAAATTACTACCTGTCTTCTTTAAACCATCAGGACAAGAATGATTGTAAGTTACATGGTTCATATCTGCAACCGAAAGTAAGAAATTCATAGGAAATGACAACCCAACGCATTTTAAAGGAGTGAAAAATTGCATTCCATGAGTCAATAAACTTTCCTCTCTCCCATTCTGTGCAGTGTGTTCGGACATTAGAGACTTTGTTTCTTGACACTAAGATTAATGCAGTATTCTTTTCTTTCAGCTTTGCTTAATTTTGCTGAAAAAAAATCTTGTGTTGTTCCCTGAAAGTTTGTAATACAATGCTTTTAAAAATAGATATAACCTGTTTAACAAACTGAGCAGGAAACTTGAAGAAATGCATCCCCTACTTCACTTGAGGTGCATTCCACCTGGCAAACAGCACAGCTGCAGCTCTCAGCAGTTCAGAAGCCGTCTCCACACACAATAAGGTTTTGCCAAATGCAGGTAGATCACAGTGTAAACTGGGGAAAACTTTCTGGCTGATTTTATCCTAAAATCATAGAATCATTTGAGTTAGAACAACCATTAAAAGTCATTTTGTCCAACTCCCCTGCACTGACCTGTGCAACGGTGATTAGAATGGATTTGCCAAATAAAAGACTTCTGTATCTAGAGAAACTTTGAAGATTTGATATCCTTCCAAAGCAGCCTGTTTCCTGAAACGATCCTTGCAGCAAGCTGGAAAGATGAAGAGGCTGAGACCAGACCTTATATCATAGTGTTCTCTCAGTGGGAACACTTTGCAGCTCAGCTTGAGCTCTGCCCTTGTACACCATGGCTGGTCTGTGCCCTTTTGTGAGCACTTGGCAGAGCAGGACGTGAGTAGTCCGTCATCTTTCACAGGTACCCACCCGGATAGCTCCAAAAATACACATGACTTCTCAAAACAAGAGTGTTTGTGTTTGGAGACGGGGTTGGACTAGGTGACCTTCAGAAGTCCCTTCCAACATGAATTACTCTATTACCCTACAATTCTGTGGCCTCACTGAAGCAAGAACTTTAACAAGGAGATCCCACATTTGACTTATTTTAGTT